AGTGCTATCGGTCATAGATTTGAACATTTTGCGCAACACAAAATCATCCTAGTAAAAGTCCATACTTTTAAATACCAACCATTATCCAAATTATTTGCCAAAAAGCGGGATAAAGTATAAATTATATTTCTGACTTGCGACAATTTTTTCGTGAGTACGTAAATACGAATGGATTTTTTTTATATTCGGGCACTTCAATGTCCGCATATATATCTTTTATTATTTTATAAATACGAAAATATGTATCAAGAATTAATTATAATCGGGCAGTTTACCACACATTTTAAGTCCATGGATCGCCGTTGTATTTTGTAAATACGAAAATAGGAATCAAAAATTAATAATAATTGCCGTGATATTGCCGTGATTAATAATAGATTGCCGTGATATTGTGCCCGAATATAATTTATTTTTGATTCCGTATTTCATTCCTTGAACTTAATATCTGTTTTTATAAATTTTGCAAGCAGTTCACGCACGAAGACTTTGAATAATGATGTATTAGTCAAATCGAAGTCCTGTTAGACCACTGGTTCTCAACCAATGGGCCATGGGCCACTGGTAAGCCTCAGAGGCATTTTGAGGTGGGCCACAAACATATTATAAATTACAAGGTTTGTTGATCTAGAACAGCTAGATATGAAAATATATATATATTAATTTGTTTGCACATTACATCAAATTAAAAAGAATATAACGAGAATGTCATGGCCTTCAATTCGCCAGGCTCGAACTGAGCATAACATATAAAAAATTAACAAAAAACGAATCCACGAGGACATTGTCTCATAAATACGAACAGAACAAACATTAAATTACCCAATTCCTAATATATTAAATTTTCAAGTATTCCTCACTATCCGTCGGAAGAAATTTCATCCACTTCTTCCTTTTAGTGTTCATCTTTTAGTGACTTCAACCACCTCATTATTCGCCGGAAGAAATTTCATTCACTTCTTCCTTTTAGTTCATCTTTTTAGTGACTTCAACCACCTCATTATTCGTCGGAAGAAATTTATTCACTTCTTCCTTTTAGTGTTCAGTTTTTAGTGACTTCAACCACCTCATTATTCGTCGGAAATTTATCCACTTCTTCCTTTTAGTGTTCATCTTTTTAGTGACTTCAACCACCTCATTATTCGTCGGAAGAAATTTCATCCACTTCTTCCTTTTAGTGTTCAGCTTTTTAGTGACTTCAACCACCTCATTATTCGTCGGAAGAAATTTCATCCACTTCTTCCTTTTAGTGTTCAGCTTTTTAGTGACTTCAACCACCTCATTATTCGTCGGAAGAAATTTCATCCACTTCTTCCTTTTAGTGTTCAGCTTTTTAGTGACTTCAACCACCTCATTATTCGTCGGAAGAAATTTCATCCACTTCTTCCTTTTAGTGTTCAGCTTTTTAGTGACTTCAACCACCTCATTATTCGTCGGAAGAAATTTCATCCACTTCTTCCTTTTAGTGTTCAGCTTTTTAGTGACTTCAACCACCTCATTATTCGTCGGAAAAATTTCATCCACTTCTTCCTTTTAGTGTTCAGCTTTTTAGTGACTTCAACCACCTCATTATTCGTCGGAAGAAATTTCATCCACTTCTTCCTTTTAGTGTTCAGCTTTTTAGTGACTTCAACCACCTCATTATTCGTCGGAAGAAATTTCATCCACTTCTTCCTTTTAGTGTTCAGCTTTTTAGTGACTTCAACCACCTCATTATTCGTCGGAAGAAATTTCATCCACTTCTTCCTTTTAGTGTTCAGCTTTTTAGTGACTTCAACCACCTCATTATTCGTCGGAAAAATTTCATCCACTTCTTCCTTTTAGTGTTCAGCTTTTTAGTGACTTCAACCACCTCATTATTCGTCGGAAGAAATTTCATCCACTTCTTCCTTTTAGTGTTCAGCTTTTTAGTGACTTCAACCACCTCATTATTCGTCGGAAGAAATTTCATCCACTTCTTCCTTTTAGTGTTCAGCTTTTTAGTGACTTCAACCACCTCATTATTCGTCGGAAGAAATTTCATCCACTTCTTCCTTTTAGTGTTCAGCTTTTTAGTGACTTCAACCACCTCATTATTCGTCGGAAGAAATTTCATCCACTTCTTCCTTTTAGTGTTCAGCTTTTTAGTGACTTCAACCACCTCATTATTCGTCGGAAGAAATTTCATCCACTTCTTCCTTTTAGTGTTCAGCTTTTTAGTGACTTCAACCACCTCATTATTCGTCGAAAGAAATTTCATCCACTTCTTCCTTTTAGTGTTCAGCTTTTTAGTGACTTCAACCACCTCATTATTCGTCGGAAGAAATTTCATCCACTTCTTCCTTTTAGTGTTCAGCTTTTTAGTGACTTCAACCACCTCATTATTCGTCGGAAGAAATTTCATCCCTTTCTTCCTTTTAGTGTTCAGCTTTTTAGTGACTTCAACCACCTCATTATTCGTCGGAAGAAATTTCATCCACTTCTTCCTTTTAGTGTTCAGCTTTTTAGTGACTTTAACCACCTCATTATTCGTCGGAAGAAATTTCATCCACTTCTTCCTTTTAGTGTTCAGCTTTTTAGTGACTTCAACCACCTCATTATTCGTCGGAAGAAATTTCATCCACTTCTTCCTTTTAGTGTTCATTTTTTAAAGACTTCAACCACCTCATTATTCGTCGGAAGAAATTTCATCCACTTCTTCCTTTTAGTGTTCAGCTTTTTAGTGACTTCAACCACCTCATTATTCGTCGGAAAAAATTTCATCCACCTATTCTTTTTAGTGTTCAGCTTTTTAGTGACTTCAACCACCTCATTATTCGTCGGAAGAAATTCATCCACTTCTTCCTTTTAGTGTTCAGCTTTTTAGTGACTTCAACCACCTCATTATTCGTCGGAAGAAATTTCATCCACTTCTTCCTTTTAGTGTTCAGCTTTTTAGTGACTTTAACCACCTCATTATTCGTCGGAAGAAATTTCATCCACTTCTTCCTTTTAGTGTTCAGCTTTTTAGTGACTTTCAACCACATCATTATTCGTCGGAAGAAATTTCATCCACTTCTTCCTTTTAGTGTTCAGCTTTTTAGTGACTTCAAACCACCTCATTATTCGTCGGAAAAAATTTCATCCACTTCTTCCTTTTAGTGTTCAGCTTTTTAGTGACTTCAACCACCTCATTATTTCGTCGGAAGAAATTTCATCCACTTCTTCCTTTTAGGTTCAGCTTTTTAGTGACTTCCAACCACCTCATTATTCGTCGGAAAAAAATTTCATCCACCTATTCTTTTTAGTGTTCAGCTTTTTAGTGACTTCAACCACCTCATTATTCGTCGGAAGAAATTTCATCCACTTCTTCCTTTTAGTGTTCAGCTTTTTAGTGACTTCAACCACCTCATTATTCGTTCGGAAGAAATTTCATCCACTTCTTCCTTTTAGTGTTCAGCTTTTTAGTGACTTTAACCACCTCATATTCGTCGGAAGAAATTTCATCCACTTCTTCCTTTTAGTGTTCAGCTTTTTAGTGACTTCAACCACCTCATTATTCGTCGGAAGAAATTTCATCCACTTCTTCCTTTTAGTGTTCAGCTTTTAGTGACTTCAACCACATCATTATTCGTCGGAAGAAATTTCATCCACTTCTTCCTTTAGTGTTCAGCTTTTTAGTGACTTCAACCACCTCATTATTCGTCGGAAAAAATTTCATCCTCTTCTCCTTTTAGTGTTCAGCTTTTTAGTGACTTCAACCACCTCATTATTCGTCGGAAGAAATTTCATCCACTTCTTCCTTTTAGTGTTCAGCTTTTTAGTGACTTTAACCACCTCATTATTCGTCGGAAGAAATTTCATCCACTTCTTCCTTTTAGTGTTCAGCTTTTTAGTGACTTCAACCACCTCATTATTCGTCGGAAGAAATTTCATCCACTTCTTCCTTTTAGTGTTCAGCTTTTTAGTGACTTCAACCACCTCATTATTCGTCGGAAGAAATTTCATCCACTTCTTCCTTTTAGTGTTCAGCTTTTTAGTGACTTCAACCACCTCATTATTCGTCGGAAAAAATTTCATCCACTTCTTCCTTTTAGTGTTCAGCTTTTTAGTGACTTCAACCACCTCATTATTCGTCGAAGAAATTTCATCCACTTCTTCCTTTTAGTGTTCAGCTTTTTAGTGACTTCAACCACCTCATTATTCGTCGGAAGAAATTTCATCCACTTCTTCCTTTTAGTGTTCAGCTTTTTAGTGACTTCAACCACCTCATTACTCGTCGGAAGAAATTTCATCCACTTCTTCTTTTAGTGTTTCAGCTTTTTAGTGACTTCAACCACCTCATTATTCGTCGGAAGAAATTTCATCCACTTCTTCCTTTAGTGTTTCAGCTTTTTAGTGACTTCAACCACCTCATTATTCGTCGGAAGAAATTTCATCCACTTCTTCCTTTTAGTGTTCAGCTTTTTAGTGACTTCAGCCACCTAAACTACCCGTCGGAAGAAATTTCATCCACTTCTTCCTTTTAGTGTTCAGCCTTTTAGTGTTTTTTAATTTTTAACCTTTGGGAACACTTCAACTTCCGTTTTCCCTCCACTTCATCCGTTTCCTCCTTCAGCCTTTTAGTGTTGTCCGTAAAATCCTATCCTACCTTTATACGGTATACGGTACTGTTAGACTGGTGATGCTTTGCATGAAGTGAGGGTGAGCCATGCAGACGTGCTTATATGCTTCTGAAATAATCTCATCGCCACTGGTATTTTTCTATATTGTATACCGGTATGTATTGGGAGTAGGTATAGCATAGGTACTTTGTTATATTACCGGCATGTTTGAACGGGTTATCGTACTGAAAATTTTCTTGTGATTACTGGAAAAGTTGGGGGAGTGATTGTACTATGCAAAACTTCAATGATATGGTGAAATATTAAATTATATATGTCCAAATATCCAACAAATGCCTTCTACTTTAGCTACAATATACACAGACATAAAAATGTACTCAATTCTTTTCTTTCTGTTTTTTCAATAACTTAACACTATCATAATTATTTGCAATGTGGTGTAGGCTAATCCGTGCCTAAAATACTTATGATGTCTTCATCAGAGAGCTCTCCTATGCGGCTCAGAATATGGGCTGAAGCGTGGGATTTACCATCCGCAGATCCAGATTCATTGAGTGTGATCACATACTCAAAGTTCATGAAAGCTCCCCTGTTGCTTCAGGAAGTTGTACCTTCAGAAACTGTGACTGGAACATTACCAGAGTTACAAATTGAAGAAAGTGTGTACAATACAACTTCTAATATTTTTGCAATATTCAGAAAAGAAGGTTATAATGCGGACTTCAACTCGAACAGCATTGACCAATCAGACACAATGGCCTATCTTGCATTGATCGATGAAAAATTGAAACCAGGCATTATACAAAATTTTTGGTTGAATTCTGAAAATTATGTGAAAGTTACAAAACCAGCATTCAGTAAAAGCTTTGGATTTTTATTCAGTTATTGGAAGTTACCACAGATGAGGAATAAATTTGAACTTGATCTTCTTTATCGAGCCCCTGGGAATTCTTCAGAGCGGGAGGCTTACTTTTATGGTGAAGCCAAAATATGTATCACCCTCCTTTCTAACAGACTTGGGAACAAAGACTTTTTCTTTGGTTCGACTCCCACTACTTTTGACGCAGTTGCTTTTAGTTATTTGTCTGTAATTCTAAAGGCACCGCTGGTATCTACCGAATTAAAAAATCATTTGACTGCTTGTGATAACCTATGTAAATACTGTGGTCGAATATCACAAAGATATTTTAAAGATGATGAAAATTCAATAGGATATGCGAAAGATGATTCCGAAACGACAAAAACAAAAAGTGAGTCTGCATCTGGGAGAGCCAATGAAAAACGTAATCAGGTTATATGTGTAGCAGTTGCAGTATTTGTGAACATAGTTTATATACTGACAACAAAAATTATTCCGAGAAGTTCAAGAAGCGCAATGACAGAATTTGTTGAGGTTGAAGATGTGCTGGATTAATTTATTGGGCTTTTTTTCTCTTCAAATGGAGATGAGAAAATTCCTGGAGGTCAATTTACGAAATAGAAAATGTTTTTAAACGACTCTAATGACAATGCTTGTTTTATTAATCGAATAAACCACGCTAAGAATTTCATTTTCAACTTGTAGGCATGACATTTTCTGCATGCCTTTCATTCACTCTGTCAACTGTTGGTGAAGGATGCAAAACAGGGTTTGGGATTGATAGTTGCCACTTGCCACATCATACAAAGCATTCATCCGGGAAGACTTGAGTCCTGCAAGGGGGAGTCCTGTTTTGGGGGAATTTTTGATGAACATTAATATACTGGTCCTGTCCTGTGTAACCTAGGCACACGGCAACAAGGCATTGGAACAAATGAGACAACCAACCCTACCCGGTGTTCGGTCAATGCAACAACCAACCGTACCTGGTGTTGGACAATTTTATGCCGTTTATTTGGCTATTTGTTGCTTTGGAATAAAATTGAAATCTGCCGAACACCGAATTAACTTCTCCTATCCCTTACAATATTAGATATTACTTTTGAAACTTACACAGAAAAAAACCGATTCACTAGAGTTAAGAACTGAAGAAGTGTGCACATATTCAAATTCGATATGTTAAATGTAATTCATACCAATCGGCACATTTCTGTTTTTTCTTGCTTTTTATATTGCCTGACCTTTGTATTTGATTCTAAGACTTGTGATTAGTGAAAAAATCCTTGGTGTTGACAAGTTGAAAGCCACATATATATATAAATTGGCATAGGCAGTAAGTATTCAATAAAAAGTTGATGCTATCCATAGCAAAAAAAACATCTTATGCTAGTTTTCTAATCAAAGGGATTAAAAACGTAACCACTCCTCAGATAGAGGCCTCCATCATATCCGAAGTATATGCATAGAATAAGTTTTTTTCTTGTGTATTTCTTATGGAAGTTTACTACTCAATTTCTGTACATCTGACAAATAATATTGTTCAATACCTCACAATCATGGACATCTGAGCTACCTGCTATCACTTGCTCTAAATCAATCCCTTATAAAAGCAAGCAACCAGTTGTCTTTATTACCAGTTTCACTGGCAAAAATATCGGTCACTCTTGTTAATAAATATCATTCATTTTGCTCAAGCAAAGAAAAGTTGAAAATGAGAGTAAAGGGTTTTGCAGAAAGCTAGCTAGAGTTATGGAAGAAGGAAACTATATCAAAGCCACAAAATACGGAAAATGATAAATGTAGTAATCAAAATTTATATCTATATGAACGGACCAAAGCAAGATCTCATGCTATTAGAGTGAAATTTTCGACAGTTTAGACTGGGCTGGGATAGATAGTGGAGCAAAAAAACAAAAACAAGTAAATAAATGTATGCATTTGAATGAAAAAATTATTTTTTCAAATGATTGGAGTTATGCAAAAGTACTACTAATATGTCAATATTTCGTCTTGAAAGTGCAATGTAGTTCAAAAAAGAATATAGAGATACTTGAAGGATGTGTTGTGATGATTACAGAAGTCGGTATACCATTGAATCATGGTTTGAACACAGCTCATGGAGGCTGTTGGTTATTTTAGTGGACGTAGATCATGTGGGATAGAGGAATAAGTGCACCAGGCGTACGAGTATCCTGCATTTTGTACATGCCACGTGAAAAGTTTACAATCTGAACATCGGGAGTATTTGGTTGTATTGTGCCACATCAATATACAACTTTTTCAAGGCAATCTGGAACTTATTTTAGAAATCCCGGGCAAACAATATCGTCGCGATAGTTTATAGTCGCTCCAATCTGATTGATAATAACTTTTTTAGCTGTGAATATGAACAATTAAATGGAATTACAATCGTGTCGATTCGCACCGATTACTTTAAGTAAAACAAAATATGAAAACACACACAAATATGCATTACAAATGAACGGTAACGATCAAGAAAATTACCAAATGTAGACATAAATCGTTATTCAAAACGGAAGAAGCGAGACGTGGAAGTGCACAGTGCCTTAATTAATACAGGTTTACCCATATCGTTACACACAAAACATAGTTAATTTCTGATGATCCATGCTGTATAGTGTATATTAACCATCATTACGCGACACAATATTAGAACCAGAATGTTCTCTTTCGTTAACGCAGTAATTGGCACCGTCATTATTGTCCCAAAAGCTCATTCCGTTACAACAAAACCGTACACAAAATTGAACGCTTTTAGTGCCCGGTGTAATTTGAACTCGAAATGTAAACACGTCAACGTCTGGGCTTTCGCTGTGTAAGAACTTTGCCTCAACGTCAAAAAATGATTTCCAGGAGTCCACAGTCAGCCGTACATGGACGTATTTTTCAAAAGAAAGATTCTGAACTTTTAAGGTTCCTATCAAAATATCTTCAGATATTATTTGTGCGTTCTCCAGGCATACTTTCTGTGTGAAGAGCTTCCGCATAAAGTCAGAGAAGTTGGCACACGGTTGCGGAAATTGAAGAACATATTTTGGACACGAAGCCTCTCTGCAAAAGCAATTTTCAATTTTAATGAAATGGCTAAGTATGTGATCAATATTGCCGTGGGCGAAAAGAAGATATTTTTTGCCAATAATGCACAAATCTTCGTAGATGTGGGAAGTCGTTATAAATATATATATATGAGTTGAGTTTTCCACCAATGAAAATTATCAAATTTAAATACCAAACGAAACGCCTCAACGAAATTTATCAGAAACACATATCGCCAGGAATGGTGCGGTGTTTTGGGCTAATAAAATGGCTCGTATCTTCTAATACCACCAGACTGGTCAATTTTAAAGCTATTACGCAATACGAACGTTTGCACACTGTCCATGCGGGTGATCCACTTCTGGCGACGATCGTGGTACGTGACCACAAGGTGGCCAAAATCTCGCCATTTTGTTCATGTCGTCAATGGTAATTTCTCATATTATTACCACTCACATTCATCTAATTTAAAATCAATTTTGTGTTTTCAATATTGGTTCGACATAAAGAGGGGGATACGTATGGCGATATCAATTCGATGATGAAGAAATTGAAATAGAAAAACGGACAGATAAAATTAGCCAAAGTATTATGCTAAAAATGATTATACCTGTTAGGCCTTGCATGGTCCGATAAACAGTTTTGTATCGGGTCGACTGTATTATCAAATTCTCGCACTTCAACGAGGTCACCTCCATTGGAGTCCGCAAAAGTAACGCTTTTTCTGCGTTTGCTATCTGGCGAAGTTGGAGTAGTGGAGTTCTGTCGCTTAGGTCCGTTTTGTATCAGACTTTCAGAAAAATTTCTTTCAATATTATTATTCGCGAGGTCCTCGAAAACTTCAATATCGTCCGGAATATCCGTTATGTTATATACGCACTGACCACTCAGTGCTCTTATATTTTTGAGAGGCTTATAATGTACTGGTGACGTCGACAAGGCAGATTCGTCGAAAATACCGTCGTTGACTAATAACTTCGCAAAAGCTTCTTCGAGTACGGATCTATCCGACATATCTGTATTGTAACAGCACTTCAATTGGTACCATATCGATTTTCTGTGAAATTTTCCGTTTTGAAGTTGTATTTCATATAGGGCAGAAACTACCAGTGTAGTTAAGATACCTAGTGCTGCAAGTGTTGCCTAAGTTTCTGAGAATATTGAAAAACATAAGGTAAATATAAATTAGAAATCAATTATCCAAGGACATTGTTTCGTAACAATGAGTCAAGTTCACATATATAAATATACATATACCGATGGAATTTAGCAGCAAGGAAAAAAAACAAATTTATTCATCGGATTGATCGTTTCGGCGTCTAACTAAATACGTTAATAATTTTTGCATACCTTTCTTGCTAGATAATAAAAAAAAGAGTTTAATTTTAAAGCTGGTATACGGGTTGAAGCAAAAATAATGAAAATATGCCACTTGGCCATTAGGGCCCTTTTAATGGCTATAACTACAACCCAAGTAAATAGTGCTTGTGTTTTGGGTGGCTTATCGCCTTCTTTGCCTGACTTCTGCACGATGCTGTACTCGGCTTTTAACGACTGGTTGTCACCGTGTGACGATACAACACCTGAAAAACACCTTCGTTACGATAAGACCAGCTCATCATGGACCTATGACTGTCCCTGCACAAAAGAATGTCAATACGGGGTGGATCCTGGAGGTACGTACCAAGTGTTATAATATATAGTGTTATAATATATTATATGTTATAAGTCCCAATACACTTTAAGATGCTGTAAGCATAGACGCATTTCCTAATATTGTGGAATATTTATTGCTCAGTTTCACGTGAACATTGTCACGTAAGCATACGCATCAATATCAAGACGTCACGGATTTTTTTGCGCGGTATCAACAATTATAATGACGTAGTGTATATTTGCAGCTACATAAAAAATTCTAGAAGCTGTTAAATATACAAGTTCATTTGGTTTTAGTTTATTTAGATTTTCTGGAAACATCATCAAATTTCTAGAAAGATTTAGATTTCAGCTCGAAGATGCACAAAATTATGAGCATTGTTTTCCTCGAAATTGTTATATATTCAGTTGTTTGATAAATAAATTTCGAGTTTATCGTCCTAAAGATAATCACATACAGGTGGAGAAATTGGTGCGCTTGGCCGCTTGGTGCTTGACGAATATTAACACATTTTCACATGATTCATTCAAACTTAAAATACATTTATTGTTATGAGGTTGGAAAGCAAATTTATGACATGACTGTTAGTTTTAATAATTTGTGGTATACGGCAGTGTTCACATCTTATGGGTCGCCTGCGAAATTTTCTGCGTCGCATGTTTTTTCAACAAAAACCTAAAAGTTACTAATTTTTTTTTCTAGTAAATTTCATTGTTTATGTTATATTTGGTATTGAAGTGTTGCTCAATATTCACTTTGCTAAGTAAAGCTACACCACTACTTCGAAAACTTGTTGAATGCAAACAAGCGCCGACTTCTCACTTTAAGGTAATTTCTGGGGGCATAAATGTTATGTAAAAATGATTGTTTCATATTAGTCTTCAAGTTTGCGACCATTAAAACTTAAAAGTACTACATGCCGATCAGTTTTGGACATGTACTTGGGGCGCGAGACTTTACCAAATTTATTGTTACAAAAAATTGTGTCGCTGGAAAAAGGGATGTGGACACATGGTATAGGGTAATTAATCATTGGTAACATATCTCTATGTTCAAAATCTTTGGACAAGCGATGACGTGCACTTTGCTGTTTACTACATAAATAAACTTTTTATTACGACTACACTGCCATTCTTGGACGCCTGAAAAACTTTGGACTATAATCCAGCGATTGAATTTGCGCCTGACTAAATTGTTAAGAATGCAGCTGCATAAACGCTTTAAAAGATTTAATCGTCAATGCATATTTTCAGCCGATAACTGAAATGAATAATTCATGCATTTTATGTCTCGTCGGCTTTCTCCTATCACATGCATTCATATAATAGCATATTCAAACTCATATTTTGTAGATAAACTATATATATACATTACAAAGGATTTGAGGAATGCCTAGAAATAGTATGACACATTTACCTTTTACTAAATTAACTTTTTTACCAAAATAATTACTTTCATGATGTTAGATCTACACTTATGTTTATACACTTCAAGTCTCTGTCTCACTCGCTGGTGCTTATATAGCCTTCACTACATAATTACTAGTTTTAGAATAAGCGATGATTTTCATTCTCAATCTCATTCCTACACCAAATCAGCAATATCAACCGAAAAGATTATTTGGTATAGGCACAAGAATAATGAAAACGAAAACTGCTCATTTTGGCCCTAGATGCCATCCTGTATGTGGATCAACTCATTCAGCTAAAAATATCGCATTAAAATTTAATGATTTACTTGCATACTGGGATGTGGGACCCATGTGATCAAATCACGTACCAATGGCGATTAGTATTTAAATTTTGAATTAGATGCGTCAGCGCACCGGCCGGACATGGGTCTCAACTATGGTCGGAACTGAAAAAGGTTTCGCGTACGTGACCCTCATCACGGTATGTGAAATATCAATATGTACAATACTCACCCGTCCATAGCTCCATTTTAGAAAAAAAATACGTATCGATATCCGAAAATGTTGGATATTGGAATAGCAAGTGGGCGATTGGTCGCTTTGAAGACGAGCTTGTTCTCTTGCTGATTTTCTGGTACTCCCGTAGTATGCGAACCAAGATGGCGTACACCGGTACGTAGTATGTGTACCAGGTGGGGCCATAATTTTATTCAAATTTTCCCTATTCTAATACGAGTTCGGGGACTAGCCATTATACAACTTTACTAATACTGGAACACAATTGTCCACTGCCCATATTCTCACAAGTACGAATAATTTCAAATTCAAACAGCATTTTACCGTTCTATTCAACAATACTTTTCCTGTAATTTGTGAATGTAAAGACTGATATTACATATAGCGACTAGGTACCAAATTCTTCTCGATTATGCCATCACTATGATTATCGTTAGTTAGAAGCAAAATATTTTCCAAACAAAATGGCGAGCGGTGATCGCAGACTAATGTCGTTTAAAAGAAATTCCAATCATGCGCGCGCAACTAGCAGAAAAACCGCAACTTGCTTGTAACGCCAATAAGCAACCTATGGGGATCGTTTTGCTGCAATGAAGCTTGCATTCGCTCGAGCGTACACAAATAAAATGGTATTAAAAATTATACCCATATCAATTCGAAGACGCCGAAATCTGACACACCTCCCACTCCCAGAACAGACGGCCCTAATTTCACATACATGTTGTGTTAGGAAGCGGACCGAAAATACAGAAACATAACACCTAACTGCAAGTTGACGGGCAAACCTGAGCATCCCAAGTACGACACTCATGCCACGCCAGACGATGTACAACTAACGATATCGCATGTCAACCCACCTAGCCCAAGTTAGATAGCTTTCTATCAACATGTTCATGTGCTCGCCTGATGCCTGAAGCCCAATCGATTGAATCTACGCTTCAATCATTCAGTGCGGTATAACTCACTTTATCCAAATATTGTTTGTCGTGGGATAAACGTTTTGTGTCACTGTCTACACCACAAAAGAAATGCCATCTGGATGCAGATAACCGTAAAATATACCAGCAATGATTTTGTCTTCACACGGGCTAAAGATTTCTTACCATAAAACATCAAAGTAATTTCACGTACCAAGCTTGTTAAAATATATTTTAGCACATTGACTAAGAACGTTGAAGAGGCCACAAAGAGCTGCCTGAAATAAAGTATATTTTGCAGATTTATTGTCGTGGCGCAATTTCTTTGGCCCAGTAAAATAAATCGCTGACTTAACCCATACACTGACTGACATAAGATGTTATTACAAGTGTGATATTGATTTAAAAACAGTAAGTATTGCAAATCATAGTAATTTCGTACGATTTACGACCAATTGCAGAGAAATAGAACATATTGAAACGGTTGAATATGCATTTGAAAAGTTCGCCATCAATAAATCTATTCGCATATTGAATGCCACAACCACCAGTACGCTGCATGAATAAAATAGCTGTCGACCTCTGCGATAGCTGCTATATCTGCTCCGCTGTTACAAACTCTACATACATTTTTGCTCGATATCACGGTAAAAAATGAATAGCGAATAGTAGATCTAGTCATTGAATTCTACATCCACAATGTAAAGAGGGTTACACGCGGTGTAGACTACATGAAACTATTGGACTACTCACAAAATACACTAACTGAACTTTGCAATATGTTATGATCCACGCAAATTCAAAATAGAATTCGTACTTTTACATGCTTTGCGCCAGCATTCGCCTCTTCAGATTTAAGTGATAAGTTAAACAAAACTGAATGTAATTTTATCCAATTTCCTCTCCTGTTCGCAATTTTTATGTTCCCGTGGAGAGCGTGAGGGTTGATTAACGACCCAAGAAAATTCTTCGAATTCCTTACCCTATATACAGCATATTTAAACACCTGAACAACCGCTATCCAATCATATTTATGTTTGAATATGGCCTTGTTCACAACGCACTATCATGTCTACTAGCGTTATTGAATAGCTTATCGACATAATTTCAGTCAGTTTGAATAAATAGTAGGCCAAGGTCGACGTCATGCGACCTTCCTTCCTCTTCAGCTCATTAGTTGGTTTCGTGGTTGCTGTTCATGAAACAACTTGTAGAACAATTTTCATCCCTTCCACACTACCGTCAACTCGGAACATTTATTTTTAACTATATACCAAAATTCTGTCACTATAAGCCTCATGATCTGCCACTGAATAACGGACGGTATTATGTATACTGCGCTCGAGGTGATTTTATCATGTATAAGATTGTAATTCTCTCTTTTTTAACTTCTCAAATTTACATCAACCGGATATTAAAGACTGTAACTTTCATATTTGATTGTGAAAATGAATGGACCATCCACGGTGTTTATTGTATTACCAGAATGCAATGAAAATATAGGTGCGAGGCCATAATCACTTGCGTATACGCGATCTGATGACAATCTATAATTTTTCTTCTTTATTTGTATTCATTCGCGCATTGCAATACGCCAGGAATTAAAATATGTTGAATCATTCATGGTGGGAAATAGGAATCGTGATAGTAGAAATCATAACTATGCGAAGCGAAAGTGGACGTATGAACACAGTTTTAATGCAATACTGAATACACGACAATATTGAGGCCGGATAATATCATATATGGATTGATGCGTTATGTATTTTATGAACATGGTACTGAGACGAGCGACTGACACTGCCTAGAAACGCCAAGAACCTTCCAGTTTATTCTATAACGTTATGAATACATTGATCAAATCAGTAGATACCCTTCTATTTAACGAGTGTTCACAGGGATTGATCGAAGGGCAACTGATCAAACAAACGCAGTAAAATATAGCGATCTCACGCACAAGTCTAAAGCAACTAGCCTAAACTTCGTGCCTCGGCCAAAATGTCAATATTCGGTCGTATATCGGCGAAGTATAACTGTCACCCTTAATCAATGTCCCACACTCCACCACAGCAACAGATTTACAACATATTGAATGAATCTCGAATACCAACACTATATATGATATTGACCTCAATTCACACAGATAAATCAAACGCCATTAAACAACGTTGTCGTCTACCATTGGGTTGGTTGACGTCACAGGCAATCAAATACATAGCCTGAATCCTCAATGAAGACATATTTGACACGCTAATACCTCTGTAATTTTTTAACGATGAAACGCCGTGTGTTTTGAAAGAACGACGTACAGTGCCTTCTTAAGACTCGAGATTTTAACTCATCGGTGACAAAAAATTCGGAATTATGGATCATTGAGGAGGAAATGATAGCCCAATACTCTAGTGGCCGAGGGCTGGGCCTAGCAATGCTAGATCCGCATGTAAAACATCTTTAGTTCATATGTCATGCCCAATACCCCAGCGGTTAAATAAATTGTGTTGGACTGGGAAGATCTTTTTTTTTTCACTAATAGTAACTTTCCACGAACCCAAGACTACTCGTTCAGAGTCTCGCATAAAATCTGAACAAAACGCTTCAAATTTCGGATTTTGTCCCGCTTACAACACACTACAAAAGCTAGTGCATATTACCTCCTAATTTTTACAGCAAAGACGCTATGGATTAAAGAAATTTGTCGTTAACCAATGATTATACTTATACACATGATATTATTAAAATGCTTCGTCAAACAGATAACACAAGTTTTGTTATTAACTATGTAATAACATCACGGCTCTAACTATTCTCTCAAGTATGCTTATAGGTTTGTAAGGAATGAAGGTCATTTGCCGACACAACACTAATTAGATACGAAGTAACACCACACGCGACACAACAATATCGTTATTTCGGATTAACTCATGTACAATAATAACGCATGAATATATGGCTAATATAGCCTACAATTGCTAAACTTTAAGCACTAACCTTCAATACTACACATTAAACGGAACACAACCAAGCACAACTTCCCTCCAATGCAACCTATACCGGCTTCAGCAATGTGTCACAACCATAATGAAATCAGCACTGTGTCACAACATGGATTACCAAGTGCCATAATATGCCTCAATATATATAATAACATTAGGTTCGAACTCAGCACTTCCTTGTTAGCTACGACAATAACCTCTGCGGGAGCATTTTCTACATAAATCCGATGTATAGAGTCGAAACAATTTTCGTTCCGATTGAACCACAACTATCTGGATTCAATTGTTAAACACAGTAATCCAACAATTGGAAGTTGCTAGTGTTGTATAGCTAATTCACATAATGTGTTTTCTAGTAATTACTAGGAGTCCTGTATATATTTCATACAACAGCGGTGTCTATAGAAGTACTCACTGCCTGCGCATTCTCATTATTTCGATAACAACAACACACAGCAAATCTCACACTGGGCTTCAGATAAACCATTAAATTAACTGCAATTAATGATAATCCAATCAATCAGTGAATTTTCTGTCTTATTCCAAGTGAGACATCGTTGCAAGCATTTACCTTCAGGATACGTTCAAAAATTTTGGATTAACTTATGTTTTGATTCACATCAGTAAATAGAACATGACATAACTGAAACTACGTATACAAATGTGCACCACACGCATGATTTGACAAAGTTTTTACACACACAGTCACAACACAAAGCGCTGCGAACGGAAATGTCCACAATTATTATTTAAGAAATAATTTGAAGCAGTTCTGCAATATTTTGGTAGATCGTACTTTTTGTCGCCACTTCGTCACTTTGATTTTGAAGCAAGCACTACATAATTGTATTTTCAAAAGTCTCGATTTTCATATATATATATATATGAATTCCGGAAATGGACGGACAAAATTCTGACTTAATAGATAGATACGTAACGTTCTCACGCATCGATCTGAAACAGCAAAATACCGAATAGATGTATTTTCGAGAAGTTATGAGTATCGATCGTCGACCCTGCTAAGCATTTGACGCTTGGTAAGCCGAATATTACGGTAGTTTCACCTATTCAACTTTACATATTCCTAGCCTTCATTTCTCGGAACGGCTACTACTACATGGCGTAAGATACAAACCAAACAATAATGGATGGTTTATTTCGTTGAATTAACCTGACAATGAAAACACTAGTTGCCAAATTGACTATTAGTTCATCATGTTTACAGGACAGGCGGTCTAAAATTGTGACGTCATAATATGTTAATTGGCAAGGCAGCGATAAACAAAGGCATGCATACGTCGGAGAACATTTTAAACCATTTGTCGCCCAGTCAGTAATTGTGCACAGCCTCCCTAAAGTGGATCCTAGACCCAATTAGACAAGACATCTCCCACCAATTTTGTACCTTGGTCTACTCTACATTCATGTTACTTCCCTGATGCCTTACGATAAATAGACGTTCTCACTCTAGTTCTCACAAAAATAAATACTGTGCTGTTAATTGTGGAAATATAACTTTTTATTTTATCAACACATATTAATCAAAAATTCATTCTCTACTACAATTTTGTGCATCGATTGCTTTATAAATTCTATTATTATTCAATATATATATTAGACTGTATAATATGCTGCATGCTTATAGCAATAAACTGCAGTAGTTAATTTCATAATACTAAAATATTTCTCCACTGACTAGACATTCTCGTTAATGCCGAGCTATGAGAGGCCTTAGTCATAATTACTCAGCTTTGATATCGAGCAGCCTTTATAAATACCAAAATATTTCGCGACGCCGCTGACGTTGGCGTAGTCACGTATTTCGTGACGTCACTTCGGTTAAAAGATATTTCGAAGTCAGAGGTAAACACGAAATGCGCGTGACGCCGTCTCTCTCGATTTTCCAAAACATCAACGTTGCGCTTCACGTTATCTCTCGAAATTGCGAGCGCTGTACATCGTTGTCCCTTTCCACCTAAACAAGCTATGTCCAACCCGCGGCCCGCGGGAAGATTTGCCGCCGAACCCTAACCAAGCCGTTCACACTAAAATTTGAAAGTAAGCCTGAATGTATTTCAGATACAAATAATTCTTTTGTATCTTACTATCGTGACGCCATATTACACCAAAATCCCGCAACCGGAGCATATGATAAGCTCGATGCTACAAAAACAAGGTTTCAGGTATGTCTGGAACAACAAGACAGGGCGCTTGAGAACGAAATTGGACAGTTACATAAAATTTGGGAAGAATAGGTATGCTTTGTGCAAATAAACGACAGGGCTGTCTGCTTAATATTTCATAAATCTTTGTCGACCTTCAAGACATGAAATTTGAAAATCATTTTTCTTCTAAAAATTGTCTACACTCCTACGCTGTCCATATCTCATTACTGTTTGAAACCGCTAACTCTATACATTCGTCATATTCCACTAAAATTAAACTGTAATTCATGGTGTATGACATATTTTTAATGTGGGTCCCGCGAAATGTAATTTGCGGCTCGAAAAAGCATTTGAGTTGGACAAGGCTGACCTAAACAAAGTGAATGTAGCACAGCTAATATCGTAGCATCGTCAAATGACTGTTGTTATTTCTTACATAAAAAACATTTTAACGGGTCAAATTCTATGGAAGGTATTTAGTTTTACTTTAATTAGCATAGAACATAAATAATTTAATGTTCAACTTCGAATTACCTTTACGAACTGACGATATTTGAGGTGATCGTTTTTTTGCATATAGATTTTGTTTCATGTGTCGAACGGGAGGAGCCACGCGTTTTACATGTATTTATTATCTTTTCTGATTGTCTTTTTTTTGTACAGAAATCGAAATACCTATAAGATTTAACGTAGTGTATTTTTAGGAATTTGCATGATGCTGCAATCCACTAAGGCTTAAAAATAATCATACTTGCTATATACGCATATGTGTTACGTCAACCGACGAATATGTATTCAGATAGTCTTTTCCTATATATTGAAAATACAACGTCTGCGCCCTTGAAAATATACAGTATAGAAACTCAATTAAAATCGATTATAAACGCAGTTTTTACCTTACAGATATTGACACTTGCCCTTCTTGCCTCTTGGGGCCTGGAGAAACGTGCGACAGCTGGAGTGGGAAATGCGGAGATAACCTTCTATGTCAACACTCAGGTCCCATGTCTTCCAGTGGGAAATGCGTGTCAGAGGAAGAATTTCGTTCAAGAGAAATAGGAGAAGCGTGTGGTGATTGGGACGGAGAATGCAAAGAAGGTCTAAGATGCAAGTAAATGAGACTACAACATCTTATGAGTCCAATCCTTACACGGTTGTAGAATCCAACATTATTGCACTTCCCTCTCTAGCTAGAGCGTATTAGTGATTATAACGCGATTTCAACCTAGACTCAAAAATTACCAAAATTAGTTTATAGTTTTTAAGTTTTCTAACTCAGATAGGCTTGCTGAAGATATTTTGTCAGTCCATATACTTCGCATCCGCTATCAAGTTATTGGACGAATTCTATATTTTCAGTGTACTAAAATTACGAAAGCCTACACACGCACCATCTTCCTATCGTCACTGTAAGATGCTGTCGACATATCGCATCAGTGCTAACCTGTGTTGGTGACGTAAGAAATGACGTAAGAGCTTATTGAAAACGTAAACATTCAGGAATTCTCTCGTTTCATTGTCAGCCATTATGTGTGAGCGTTTCGTCGCGTATAGTCGCGTCGATTTGTTTATCTCGACAAGTAGGTGAAACGAAGGCTGATTCGGAAATAAACGCTTTAGCAAGCTTGGGCATGAGATAAGTGAAATATACCACGATTTATTTTGGTCGCCCAAATAAATATTTTTACTCCGTCACGTGATTTCGTTCACCGGTTCTCTCGAATTTTCTCTCGCGTTCTAGTCAGATGCAAAGTACATCGGGTAAATATTATTTTCTATAACAGGAGAAAGACTTAGCGGTCGTTCACGTTTATTATTTCGTCCATTTCAGGAATTTTCCATTTTACATACTATGTTATATTTATTAGCCTCCAAAACAAATTAAGTTGCGCATTTATGTATATGGTTATTCCGTATCTTCGGATATAAAAAGTTATTGAATCGAGATTGTTCGCACAGGTTTGCTCAAAATGGGAATACTGTTGTCGGTGCTTAGATGCTAACAACTAAATTATATCTAGTCTTACACTTAAGTCACAAGCAGCAGGTACCAGAAGAGACCAGACGTTTATCAGATACCAACAAATATAAAAATGCTTGGGCCAAATATAACCTTGCAATAATATTAAATGTTATTCTATTTTTTTTTTCAAAAAAAGGTCGACGAATCCAGTCAAGAAAATTTTTGTGCCCCGTGAAATTCTCTTCTATTTGCTGTTACTCTAGCACTGGGTCTGAATATCCAGAACTTTAGTTGGTCAGTCAAATACATAGCACCCCCGTGAAAAATAAAAAGCTGTGAAGCATACTAAATTCCGTGTCCTGGTTATCACGGTTTATCGGATTGTCATCCGGTATTACATCAGAGTGGTGACAGCACATTTGAACCCATCTACATTTGCACCCCTAGCTTTTAGCACCCGCATATAGAATGCACTTGAGGATATTTGAACCCATGTACATTTGCACCCACGAATGTTTGCACTCATTGACGTTTGCATCCATGTGCATTCGCCCCCCATGAACATTTGCACCCATGTGCATTTGCACCCATGTGCATTTGCACCCATGAACATTTGGACCCACGGGAATTTGCAATTGTCCTGGGTGCGAATGTAAGTGGGTTCGAAGATAATGGAACCCATCAGGGTATCTATCTATTCTCATATATTGGGATTAAATCAATTAATATCCAGCCCCAAAAATTTTAACACGATCTTTCGGCCGTCAAAAACATTAATTTGTTAACGGTAACGTTATTTTGAAGTTATTAGAAATTTTACTTTATGTCTGTAATTACAGATACGATGAAGACTCGGCATTTCTACCTCCTATGTTCGCCGATATGATGCATGTGTTTGGTGAATGTGTCACAGAAGAAACGTTTGATTCACAGGGTGAGGGAGAAATATGCAGTGAACGCTATGGTAATTGTTCGGAAGGTCTTGCATGCAATGAAGCAATGTTTCCGTGGTCACCCAATGTCTGTGTAAATGAGACTAATTTCAATAACACTAATCAGGTACGTATGCTAACGTATATAGTATGCTCTATGTTGGATTTTATCACTAAACGGGGTTGTTTGCCTAATCCGCTATGCCTATACATTTACTTTCTATTAGGGCTGCTGGGAATTTTAAAGAAAACACTTTAACCGTTAACCGGGTAAAATTAACCGGTTAACTGCAGCGTGACGTTTGACGTAATAATTTATAATATTAGCTTGTTATGTCACAATGGTTACAAAGTAATTTTGGGTGATCCCATCCCGATATCGTTCAAAATTATGCACGAATCGACATAGTTTCGTGATCTCTCTGCTGCAAGATTTATGCAGCGTGCTTCGGACATATGGAAGTATTTTAGTAAAACCCGAATCCGTTATTAAATGTCATTTATGTGACAAAGTTTTAGTTTTCGACGTGTGAGATTCTGAGATCTTCTATTCTGAGATATCATAAAGAAAAACAGCATCAACTGCGCATCTGTTGGATGACATTGAATATACGATTTTGCAATAAAATCGTGAACAATATATTTCGATCAAAAATTGATTCTAAGTTTATCATTGTCAAATTTTCAAAGTCAGCAATCTTTGTACTTTAATAAGTTTTCTCATTTATTAGGTTCTTACCAATACAGTTAGTGATATTCTTTCGAAAACGCCACAGGAGATAAATTTGCGATGACGCAATCATTTTTGAGGACATTGTACCTTATAAGGATGATTTGTACCTGAGGTGTCAGTTAACGGTTAAAATAAATCGTAACCGTTAACCATCTAAAATCGATTAACCGGTTAACCATTCCCAGCCCTACTTTATATATATATATATAAACATGTTGATTGGATACATGAAACAAATATTGAACACATAACATAATTTCATCACAAATATTATTCATCACAAAGTACCACTAATATTCAGCTGAAAATAGGAAAAGTTATGATACAAGTACTATTGACAGTATTACTGTATTTGATAGGTCGACGAGAGCATATTGAAAAAAATTTTCGGTGACGTCAATACTGACGATGTACCAGTTCAAGGGGAAATCGATATTGTTCTGGTGGAAGGCGAAGATGCGGACGAATCCAAGATAATTTTAGATATGATTGACGCTATTGAACATATAATTCCTGACCTAGTAAGTAAAACAGACCCAGAGACAGGCGAAACGAAAGTAATTTCCATCAAAAACAAAAATGGCACTTTGGCAATTAAAGATGAAATTAATGACAACGTGAGTATTGTCGATGCTGACATTTCGGAAGACAACGAAAGCGATGACACGGAAAGTTATTTCAGTAAAATTTTCGATCTTGCCAAACCCGACAATGATAAAGATGACAATGAAGTAGACATTGGTTCGGATTTCGAAGGATTTTTGAATTTGCTGATGTCTGAGGAACCACAAGATTCGCAGGCTGATAAAAATGATTTCACAAAATTATGAAGCATATGAAGACCTATTGAAGCTATGTTTATCCCAAAATATAGACATGCTTTATACTAAGTCAAGTGGTGTTAGATAGATATATTTAGAAATTCGAAAAAAAAATTCTGTAATAATTAGACTACTTTTCGACTACTTAAGTTCAAGTACGTAACGAAACTGTACAGTTTTGCTTCGGTGTAGCTGTTGCCATGTTTGTGCAATATGCGGATCTGTATTGAATTAAATAATTACAATGCAACGAAAATCAGTTTTCAATTGACAGTTTGTAAAGATGCGTTCAATTTTGATGCGAAATTGCACGTCAACGAAGGTTTGTTGAATGCTGGCCGTGAACAAAATAGATGTTGATTATGTTTTAATATTCTTAACTGATTAGGAAGTTTAGTTAATTCCGCACACGATGTACAAAAACGACGTTTTTTATTATTAGAGAAACCTCTTGCGCAACCCATTACTTTTGCGATTAGGTCCTCTTCATATGATTATTCGGTATAGTGTACCAAGAGTTTGCGATTATGCTTCATTAAAACTAAGTAGACCTCAGCCCTACTGCGACAGTGATCGCGTACCACCTATCATTAGCTTGTGTCGTTTCGAGATTTTTTTGGACGCTGTCTGATTTATTTTGGTTAAATCGCTGATTCATGATCTTTTTTGAAACGACGCTTTTTCATGCCTCGCACTGCTTCTTTTGACGGTTTCATTAAAATTCCGTGTCCCACTTTGCTACACTTGTCGACATACATATCCCACTTGCCCTATTTGTCTCACACTGGACACTTGTCCCATAATTGTACTACTGTTCCGAGATAGGGTAGATATATATACTTATATATTGCAGGGCAAAAGGTCAAAGTGAGCACTGAGCATACTAGGTAAAATTCATGCTAAGTTATGGGTTAGATATTTAAGATAAATAGAATACTTATGATGCAGAATGTTAGAGCATGAAGTCATATTCATACAATTTGAAGAATTGTGAGGCACGTGTGACAAGTGTGGGATAGCCTACGTGAGAGGACACCTCCTCTTTTGGTGCATCGATAGGGCTAAAGTAAATCTGAAGTATACCGAACGTTGGTTTCTACAAGCCACTTGGGAATTGGTTTTGGAAACTAATTTAGATGTGGTATTGGTCAAATATTCCATATCGGACTGCATAGCGTCGTGCAAAAACACACGCATCGTCTCGACAACAAGGGTGTGAAGGCGCGAGAAACCAATGAAATCGTCTCAGACTGCGGTTACGAACGTCAGTGCACTTGGAAATCATTCACGACGTCAAGTGAGAAATAATCGCAACGTAAAAGTCTGAAATTGAATATCAGAAATGTCTATATTCGCGTTAATTATGGTTTTTAATGTAAAACTATAGGGGCAATTGACCAAAAATATCACATGCTGCGTGGAAATGAGAAACTTTAGGTCCCCGACCGGAAGATACGGTAATTTTACTTATAATTTACTACGCAATATCCTACGTGACTTTACGTAACACGCTCACCTATAGAGGGTGCTGCTTTGGATGTTTCCCTGTGAAAAGGAAGCGACGTAACGATGTTGGTTGCAACTTGAATCAATGTTTATCATTTTCTGTGAAACGCAACATGCACACCACCATCAGAATAACGGATGTGACGTAACGAAGCATACAGGTTTCGTGAATACATCATGTACACAGCAACGTTCTTGACTTACAGAATACGCTCGTTTCACACCCATAGCCAGTGCGACTAGAGAATATAAATTGGTTTCGGTAAAATGATATAAAGAGTTTTGAGCGGCATTTGATACGTAAAAAGACATAACAAATTCCGTGTCTATCATTAGCGCAACAACATAACAAGAGTAACCAAGTCTTTAGGATTTTCCACGTTTTCAAACTAATATCCCCTGCAGCTGTTTAACTTTGCAGTTCTCGTCGACTGAAGTGTTTATGTATTTAAAAATTGATAAAGTCTGCGCGGTTGTAATTCGTGACACTTAGGTTTCAAGCTATAGATAACAAATGGAATAAAATGTACGTGAGAATTGCGAAAATATACAAACCAAAAAACTATTATTAAGCCAAAAGTACCATGATATCATAAGACACGAATCTGACGTAAAATCTGAAAAATAAGCACGGTAAGATGGTCTCGATGTTATTTATTTTGATTATATGTCGGGTGGAAAAATCCATTTTCTTTGTGTTATACACAGTGGACATTGAAGTCAGTCAAATTATTTTTCTTGTTTAAATATTATTATACGGTAGGTTTGTCAACTTGGATTTCTTCACTCAAAACCCTAACATTTCATCAACTCTGAAATTCGTCAGCGACTGACGCTACACATGTGACATAAATACTAAAATTTGCGGCTCGGTCGTGTGGCGCATTGTGCTAAGCCTCAGGAGTACGCTCTCTACCGCACCTTCGATTACCCTGCGTTGGTTCGCATCCGGTGGGGAACAATTATGTGCGAGAGGATTGTTGGATTCCTCGCCGCCTTAGAGTGGTTCACGTAACTGAAGTCGATGCATCTGAAACAAATAACTGGCTGACTAATCTCATACCCGACATGGACTGATAACAGGACGAGACGTGGTTCGTCATATATGCTTAACCTTAAGCCATCTTATCGAGTTCCCTTTCCCTGGGTTAAATATGTAAATTCTATACTCAATGAATATATACTTAAAACAAGTACTCCAGAATAACTTTCTGCGCAAGTTTTATTGCTTATTATTAGATTTTATAACGCTGGTAGGAAAAATACTTCACAATGTCAGGGATAATTTAAACTCACACTGTAAAGTCATCAAGCGGAAATAAAAAAACATGAAATGAAACAGAAAAAAATTTGTGTAACGTATCAATAGGCACCATAAGTTTTAACATACAAAAAAGTGAATTAACATATTATATAAGATTAGTTCAGAAGCATCTTAAAAGTATGTATATATGTGGGGGAAACAGTCGATATTCGAATCATGCTTGTGTAAACAGCTGTGAGAGAAAAAACATATCACATGAATAAATAATAAAATAAACATCACAATATTCAATGCGGAATTGATTTCATCATTTGAATGAATATTATAGAATAAAAACATCCATACGTCAGAAATAGATAACAATTCAGGTTGTTTAGAGAGTTCAGTCGGCAAAATGGCGAAAATAACTAAATAAGAGGGATAAATTCTTTTAATTTTACAGTCCGCTAGAGTCATCTTCCTACAACCTGTAATATTTATTGGGTAATGTACGGTATATGGGTCCACCAGAATTTTAGAATGATTTCCTAAATAAACCTAATCTTAGCTTTGGTGGTCGACGTAACTTCTTTTTTCGACTCGTTGAGGATTTCTATTTTAAAATATCTGACCCGACATTATTTCATGAGGATAGCTGAAATAAATCTACAATTATATCACAAAAATTGTGTTCTTAATTATACAGACACAAATAACGGGCAAGATAGGCTAAGTAATGTGTGACTGAAAATAATCTTCGGAAATAAAGAAATGATTGTGGTAACACTGAACGCGAAGGATGGTGTTCTTATTTGCTTAATAACGTCATAGAATGAATGCTACAATTTGTTGCATTCTATTGTTAAATGCCAGTAGAAATATAAAAGCTTCTGTTTTGCATTGAGTGAAGATATACAAAGTTGGACATTAGTAGTCGTTTTTAGTCCGATAGTATACGGCTGCTCAAATATTTTGGTTTCCGACGATGACATAAATTGATTTTAAAGATCACAGCAGGAAGGATAAAAATGCAATTAAATCTACAGATATTAATTGAAGGCCGAGAATTTCTAACAAATTTCGCCTAGTATTTATGCTACCAGTTAACACCGTGGTATGCGAAAATTGCACCCGGAAATTCTGAAACATCTCTAGAAAAACAAAATATTATTCAACCAATCCAATCGGGTAATAATTGCGCCAACACTGTTCACAAATGAGGTAATGGCGGGCTCGCTATCCAGTAACATTGATAAAATGTAACATTATTTAGATGCAACATGAAAATATAGTGACAAAATACTGATCGTTAAAGTAATGTAACTTCCAAACTGAAAAATACAGAATATGTGTGTGTTTTTGTGTGAGTGTGTGTCAATGATGGAATACATCGAAATATTATACCCAATCTAAAAATTTATGTGATTAAAAATAACGAATTTATTACGTTTTGGGCCTAAGATATTACAGTAATATAATTCTCAATATAATGTCTCAAAATATATTTTATCTATTAAATAGAATACTATAACGATGGTTATTTGGATAGAAATCCTTGCTATGTGACTAGTAGCCCCAATAGGAACCAAGGTTTGATGGTCAATTGGTGTATTGGTTTCTGATTTATAATACCGTTATGCAGGCATATGTAAATACGGGTATGTCCCCTTTATGCTTCAATTAGATACCTAAAAATGCAATACTCAGAAGTAAGAAAAGGATGGAAGCACGTGTTTGTTAAACAGCTTTCAAATTAATAAAGCTATATTATTTACAATTCTCATATTAGTAGTCTTAATTTAAGTCATGGATGCTATTGTCCCAACCTATCAATTTCAACATAAATGGATATAGTTGTAGCTGTTAAACCATGATAGATGGATGTAGCAGTCTCTCCTCCTTCTGCTGCTTGGGTTAGCAATTCAGGATTAAACCGGATCGAGCCAGTTTAATCTGAACCAATCCAGTTTACCAGTGGATATTGCTATTCAGAGCATAGTTGAAACTGGTTGCTTCCTCACCCTCTCTCTTTCACCTCTTTGTTTTCTTTTAAAACTACGATTCATTGCATCTGCTCGTCGATACGGTTCGGATTTAATATCTGAAAAATATACAAAAAATGTGATGATAGAATAGGTCCTAATTTCACAAATATGGGAAAATGCAGCTATTTGCCAGGGAACTGAATAAACTCAAAAATTAAAATAAAACATCATTTTGTAAAATACTGTCCAAATATAAGAAGTGTCACAAATCTTGATTAGAACAACTCGCATTTTTTAGACAGTTTTTGTTTGTCAAATTTAGACAAGAGAATTTAGACAAAATAGTATTACAAATTTTATTTTTTTTAGGAAATTAGAAGATATAAATTATTTATAAAGCACTATAAATATAATTCCATCTGTGACAGAAGAAAAGCAATTTTTGATTTGACAATCCAATCATAATAAACTTACAATTAATATTATCTTCAATAACACCATCTTTGCTTTGTACCGCTCTCCTATCTCTTCTATGCTGTTTGGATCTTAATTCTTGAATTACACGTTCCTCTTCAATTTTAGCATTGTTATTTTGATTCTCGCTTTTTGTATGATTCGTTTTCTTACTCTTTTGCTTCTTTTGTTGGCCTTGTCTCAAAGCTTTCTTTGCCTGTGTAAAGGGTTTGGAAAATTGAGTAAAATATCAATTGGAAAAATTTCGAGAACATGCCCATATCCTAGCCAAATCATTTTGTTCTTTGACCAAACATGCCTAATAATAAAACATCATTTTGACATGTGAGTATAAAAGTTTATATACAGGCTCGACGGCGTGGTGAATCGTGCTAAACATGAGGAATACGTTCGCCACTGCACCTCTGATTACCCTGCATGGGTACACAGGTTTTAATCCCATACGGGGTTAATTACCTATGTGCAAGAAGATTGCTGGACTCCTCAAAACCGCAAAACCGTTGGGTGGTTACGGCTTCATCCACCATCAAGTCCATGCATCTGAACACAAGTAACTGGCTAATTAATCCCTTACCTGACATGGACTGTTAACCGGACGTGGTTCGCCATATGATTAAGCCATCTTATCGGCTTTCCTCTTTCCGGGATAAATATCTAAATTCTATTCTATTCTATCCAGTATAACATACCTCTTGGTTTTTCCAATTCAATATATCCTGTTCTGCTTTTGCATATGATTTTAAGAATCTATCAACCATAGGAAAGAACGTCTCTGGTGGCATTGCTTTGGGAGTTTCGCCAAAGTATTCAGCGACAGCTTTAAATGCTTCCTGTGAAGTTGCTGCATCCGAATATAACTGGTAAAGAGGAATAAATATATTAACAATAACAGAATATTTTATAGCAAATTTTAAAATTCCAAATATCGTAATATTAGGATAATATACATTGTTCCAGTTGACAACAATATAAGAAAATAGCAATCAAATTGAAAATGAAATATTGCAATATTATTTTGGATATTCACTTTTACCACTTGTGTTGAAGCTAATTGCAATGTGGTTGCAACCCGATAAATTGAAAAAAAAAATGGTGTTCCTAACCCAGTGTGAGTCGATTTATCTACATTTGGTGTGAGCTCACACTCCTGTGTATATATGTGCCTCAAATGTTTAAATCAAGGAAATCCAATACTACAGGAATGTAGACTTTTAGTTAAATCGGGAATAATATTGGAAGATATTCCATGAGTTTGTTGAAAGCGAAATGCGAAAGCATCTTAAAGTATTCATTTTATAAATTCCTTCTCAAGTCTTTATGTTGTTATCTACGATTTTGGGGGAAAGACGCCAATGTGGATTGTATTGAAAGGTTTAAATAAACATATGATACCTTTTGTACTTTAGGTTCAGCCATCTCTAGAAATTCTTTGATGACAGGATGATGATGTGTCTCATGTTCTCGTTGAGTTAACCCCATTCCTTTTTTGATTTGTGCAACATCAGATAATAAGGTGTCCAATGAAACTAAATGATAAAAATGCAAAATTGTGATTCATCAGGCACCAAACCAACTTTTCATCACTTACTACTCACAGAAATTATATAAATTAAAAATCTAAAATTGTGAGAGAATAATATGTAATTAATTACAGTGTACTTAACTTTATTTTGTCTCAAATGGTGACAAGGTAAATTAAATAGACATAAAATGGTGATGGTTGGCGAATTTCAACATATGTCTGAGAAGATAACATCACAGCGTGGTGACGTAAGTCCCAGTTCATTACATCCCCTCCGCCATAAGAATTGACAGGACTTACATAGTTTTTTAGGGTGAAAGGAAAGCCGATAAGGCAGCTGAATGATATGGAAAACCACGGCCTCTCATCCTGTTACCAGTTCATGTCGGTATGGGATTAGTTAGCCAGGTATTTATTTTCAGATGCATGGACTTGATGGTGGAGAACGCCGTAACCAACCAGCAGTTATGTGAACCACCCTACGGCGGCGAGGTGTTCAGCAATCCTCTCGCACATAATTATTCACCACAGAATTCTAACCAGTGAACCCACATAAAGTAATCAGAGGTGCGGTGACAAGCATATTCCTAATGCTCAGCACGATGCACCACACCACTGAGCCGTGTATCTATACAATCAGATTAGATATTCAAATAAATACTGATAACAGAATGAAAATGGTTTTAAAAAGGCTTAAGAAACCTTATAATTATGTCCTTTTCCCATAGCTAAATAAGGAAAATCACAAAGTGTATGCTGTTTCAAGTCAAAAAAAGCAATGCAACTCTACCTTTACTGGCTTTGTCCACATATCGTAATTCTTGATAAAAATCTTGTATATCTTGATAATATGTTTGTATGACGCTGACAATATAGTGGAGTAAAGATTGCTTCTTGTCTGTTGATTTAGTATCAAGTAACTGGAAAATGAGAACATTGTGTAAAGTTTATTTGCCCTCAAGGCAGATACACATATACAGGTCCTTATCCAGGCCTGTCATAAACTAGAATGAACCATCACCAAAGTAACACCCTCACACGCACACATGTAAAGAAGTAATAATTACTCAATAACAACAAGTAATGGCACAATGATCACAAGTGTCTGGTAAAGTAATCAGACCAAAACATTCACAAATTCCCCATTATTTAATAAAATGAATATTTAAAAGTTTTTAAGTTCATTGCATTGTATAATGTCCAGCAAACTTGACGATGATGAACCTTTTTTAGTCAAGTTATCTGCAAGCTGTTGTTCGCTGTTACACCATCGGATTCTGGTAATCTCTTTGTTGGACATCATCTCTTTCAACATTGCTACTTCTATTCTCAGTCGTCTATCTTGTACTTGCTTGATAGACTTTATAGCATCGTGAAGAGAGCGATTATCAGTTACAATTTCGATGGGCAGTTTTTCAAGATTGATAGCTCCATGCATGATTTCTGTATACAATGAGCTAACAAAGCTTGCCATATCTACGCCAGCCGACATAGCAAGTGTTTCCGCAGCCAAAGAACTTTTAACAACTCTTTTTATCCGTTTGCTTTGCCAGCTGATGAGATTGCATCTTTGATGTTCTCCTACAAGAAATATGAGGCTTGCAGCTTGGCTACCACCATCAGTCAAATTACCAAAGGATGCATCGACGAAACAGACAAGTTTCAGATCCTTGTCAGAGCCCAAATTACAGAAGTTCAAATCCACTGAATTTGATTTTAGTTTCCTAATCACTTTGTTAACTCTGAGGAGATCTTTCACAGTTGCAGATTTGAAATTTGTGGCCAATACACAAGTATCGAATGAGATATCAGGCCGTGATTGAGTACTGATCCACAACAGTTGACCTATTTTGGACTGAAGGGCTTCACTTTCAAGATGAGTTAGTCTTGCGTCAAGATCAGTCTTACGCTGGTGAGACAAATGAATAGGATTCAAAGATGAAATGTATTCATTTTGATTTAATGAGACTCTATCTTTATGTTCGTTGATTTGAAGACCCACATACTTGAAACACGATGTTTCTTCATTTCCCACTTGAAATGTTTCTCGTAATTTCGTGATAATCTTCTTTTCAAATGTTTGACTGCCAGACCACATAAAGTCATCAACGTGTACAGTGAAAATTCCTTCCAACTCAATGCCATTATGCCAATAAAAAACGGCAGGATCTGCAAGAGTAGTCTTGCATCCATTTTCCAACATAAAATTTCGAACTCTGTCGTACCATTTCAGTGAAGCATCAGTCAGTCCATATACACATTTTCTTAATTTCCATATAATTCCCTCTTTACAATTTGCTTCTTTAGGTGGCATAAGATACACATTTCGCTTAAGCTCCTCCCCTTGTAGAAATGCAGTTTTAATGTCAATACACCTTAATTGCCATCGTTTTTGTTGCACAATAGCTATAACAGTTCGCATTGAGTCTTTACAACATGTTGGTGATTCTTTTTCAATATTTTCTAAATTACTCTCTTCAAAACCACGAGCAACAAGTCTAGCTTTTGGGAACATTTTATCACCATTTTGTTTCATTGTGCAAACCCATCTTACAGAAATACATTTCTGATTATTATATGGACATTCTTCATATACGCCATTTTGTATCCAGCTTCGGAGTTCTCTATTTTTCGCTAGAGAAAAATCCACCGAATCTGCAACAAAAACGTCACAATCAACCGTTTGAGCAGATAGAGTAGCTGTTTTTGTTTGTTCAGATTCTGAAATGGGATCGTTTTCATTAAGAATATCGACAGCATCAAAGTCTATAGATTTTTGCTGGCCTTTCAAAGATTGTGGTGATTCATACTGCACGTTATACCAATTTTTAAATCGGCCAGTCGCTTTTCCTGCTCTTCCTAAAATTTTAGCGCTGTAGACAGTTCCATCATTCTGTTTATATTTGACAATTTGTGATTTCTTTAAACTTCTAGATTCACTTTTGCCATGTGATTGGCTATTCTCGTTTGAGCGAATTTGTTGTTCCGAATCAGTTAAATCAGTTCTATGGTCAGGAGAATCATCGTTCATAGCTTCAGGTTCAGTTTCAAACTCCTCAATATCAGATATATTCTCCTCAGTTTTGATATCACTGTTAGAATATTCAGCATCTTCCGGCTTCAATTGCATGGGAGAATTTTCACCATCACTTGAATTAATTAAATGCAATCTACATGTGTGGACTCTGATCACTTGACCACCATGTCTAACAAAAACCATCACACCGTCTTGTCCAATCACTTTTCCTGGTCCACGCCATTTATGACTATCTGGTCTTTTGTAATAAACTCGATCTCCCGTTGTGAAATTAAAAGAAGATTGTCTGGTTTGTTTTCGCAGCGCTCTCTGAATTCTCTCAGAAGATTCACAGGCAATAAATGCTCGTCTTGCAGCATGGAGAGCTGATATATGTTGACCAACTTCCAAGCTTTCAGTCTTTCCCTCCAATGCAGGTAGTTCATTCACAAAAACTGAGGGAAGATTGACATTCTGACCGAAAACAAGTTGAGCTGGACTGAATCCTTTATTATTCATCAAGGAATTTTTTGCACTTACGGCCCATGCAATGGAGACTCCCCAATCAGTACGCACATCATTTCTAATCTTGTGAAGCATATTTGTCAATACTTGGTTATGTCGTTCACAAACTCCGTTACTCCAAGGAGAGTATGCGGGTGAAGTATTAACAATAATATTAAAATTATCACACATGTCCAAAAACTCATGATTATTGAATTCTCTTCCATTATCAGTAAACACCTTTTGTGGAGATCCAAAAATACTTATCCAATGAAGTAAAAACTTGTTTGCAATTATGGATGAAGATTTAGACCTCACAATAACAGCATTGCTGAATCTGGTGAATTCATCCACCATGTGCATGTACCAAAGGTTAGATTCTAATTGATGCAAATCAATTGCTACAGACTCATTAAATCTTGATGCCCTTGGTAAACCTACAGCAGGTCGTGGTGGAGATTTCTTAAGCACAGAACAAGTTTCACATTTTTTCACTACGTCTTGTACAATATCAAATAATTTATTATTCGTAATATTTGCATTTCCAAGCAATCTCTTCATGTTTTCTTCAGACGCATGGCCGAATTGTTTATGAAGCTTTTTGATAGCAACCATCTGATCATTAATTGTCATATCTTTAAGTACAAGTACACTTTCATCATAAGTCTTGCACATCTTCTGTGGTGTTATTGCTATGCAATAATGTCCACTTTCAGTAAATTGAAGATCGACTGGAATACCAAAGATTGTAACTACATCATTTTCCATGTCAAGAACAGTTCCCGCTCGTTTGAGTGATGACTTACTTAGTAGCAAGGGTATATTGTCCTCGACAACCTCTGTTCGAATTTGACAATTTTTTCCAGCAACTCTAGCAGGAATTATTACACTTTGAGTCGACATGACTCTTCTTCCATCACCAAATTTGAATCCTGTACCTCCTTGTGAAAACTCGACAGTCTTTCTCAAATTTTCAGGTAATTTGGCAATGTAGTTATTCAACCACTTCTGTCCACATACAGTTTTAGTACAAGCTGTGTCAATTATTGCTGATCCAACTGTTTCACTAATCAAAGCTTCACAATCAGAGCTTTTTATCATGAAAACAAAATTAACAACTTCATCTTCTGTTTCTTTGTCACTGAAACTTCCAATTTCAGCTTCTGCCATATTTACTTTGTTTCTGTTATGTGGGCATTTATTAGCCCAATGCATCTTTGAATCACAAATGGCACACCTTGAAACCTGCCCAAATTTATTTAAGGGATTCATTGTATTTTTTCTACCTTGTTGCCTTTGAATAGATTTTCTTTGACGATAATGAGTCAATTTTGAAACAAAGGCTTCTTCTTTAATGGAAGCAGGTACACTGTCATCCGTAACACCACCATCTGATGTTTTCGTGAAAACCCGCTTTAACGCTGATTTCATTCCTTCAAATTTCAGGTCACTAGCCACAGTTAAAGCTAATTGTCTTTCTGATTGAGATAGATTTGCACCATCCAATATTTTGAATGTTAATATAGCATCAGGTAGTTTCATATCAAATTCGGATATTTTATGATACAGGTGTTCAAATTCTATAATGTAATCTTTCATATCCATATTGAAAGATTTATTGAACGAGTTGAAAGCAGTGTAAGCATTGTAAGCATCATCTACTTTATCAGATTTGAAAACCCTGTCCAAGCTCTCTAACAAGGTTGTCATACCATCATTGCTATGAAGTTGACCAGCTGTTAACTCAGATGCAGCCTTTTCAGCTCTTTGATTTCCTTCAAGAGAACTTAGGACAACTACAATAGCTTGCTCTTTCTTATCAATAGGTGTGACCATTTGCCACATTTCAACTTTATTCCTCCATGCACTATAAGGTATATCATCCTTAAATTTAGGAGGGTTTTGTCTTGTTACTGATGAAGCCATCTCAAAGAGCAGCAACCATCCTCTGCTACCATGTAAAGTTTATTTGCCCTCAAGGCAGATACACATATACAGGTCCTTATCCAGGCCTGTCATAAACTAGAATGAACCATCACCAAAGTAACACCCTCACACGCACACATGTAAAGAAGTAATAATTACTCAATAACAACAAGTAATGGCACAATGATCACAAGTGTCTGGTAAAGTAATCAGACCAAAACATTCACACATTGAATCAATACTTATTGCATTGAAATATACCGTAAGTGTATTTTGACTTCATAATCAGCATAACAGATGATAAAATAATTGAAGAAAACAAATAAATAAACACTGATTATGAAATCATGAGGGCAAACAAAACCTTAACTAAGGTTTAAAGGCGGGGTGGGGTGGGCAACTTCTCTAGTCGGCGGGGCAGATGTGGGAAAATGAATTCCTCGGTGGGCCGGATTATTACAAAAAATACTTCGGTATCCAATCTTTGTTAAATGCTCAACACTCTCTGTCAACTTTACCTTTCTTGGAATATTCCATGGTTAATAAAACTTAATACAAAATCTAATTTCTAAAATCTATTTATATTTAGAATCAAAATATAGATATAACTGATAACAATAGTGGGGAATGTTTACAACGCTCTCTGCTTTGACCTTATATTGTTTGTTTTATATATTGTTTGTTTTAACAAGTGTGCTAAGGCCACTGCTAACGCAATTGTTTGTTAGCTAAGGCAATTGTATATTTCACCAGCTCGCACTGACAGTGCAGGGAGATTAGAGCAATCGACAACTTTCAGGAATGATGCGTCGGACCACATTACAGGGTGTGATTGGATACAGTCAGCGGGCCAGTCAAAATCTCGTCCCGGCCCGCGGGCCGAATGTTGCCCACTCTTGGTTTAAAGGGTACTACCGGCTTATTAATTTTGTAAAATTAATGATTTTGTTACTACACATTGAAAAGTTTTATTACTTCAATAAGTATGCCATATGGGACATGAACCTGTCATTAAAGATCTATTGTGCATATCGTCATTGGATCTTGTATATTGTACCAGAATTCTACCAGTATATTTTCATTATTTTGTACATATTTTCTACTATAACGCATAAGGTCTAAACTGCTGTAATAGGGTACATGTCGCACAATTGTACATGAATCCTGACTCTGATTTAATGTTCATTTATTATGCAGACGTTGTTGAATTCTGGGTTCTCCCGTAGTGTGTGTACCAGGCTGGGGTTAGGCCATAATTTTATTCCGATTCTCCTTATCTTATTTCTATTACGAGTTCGAGGTCTGTCTGTGTAATCCAAGTGAATATACCCCCTGCCAACAGGTTTCAGTCCATTTACACAACTTGATGTAAAATAGGCGAACAAAATTAGTTACCTCCATATTGGTACACACACTTCTGGAGCGCCGAATTTTGAAGTAAAGAGACATACACTCAAGAAACCTAAACATATACTTTAACACTGTTACAAACGATGGCTATATCACAATACTTACAGAGTCTAAACTTTGCAGTTTGAATCCATAAACGGCTCCTCGTTTTGAGCTGTTCATGTAATTTCCAAGTGCGAGTATGATTTCCAAAACTTTCTTTAATTTTTGAGATGATTTAATCGACATGGATGCAGCAATAACAGCGGCAAGTTGTGGAGTGAGAGAATGTATCGTGTCATTGAAATTACCAATAAATATCATGATATTCAGTCGCTGTTGAAGTCGTTCCACTCTCCCAAACTGTAAAAAGAACATGAAAACTAAGAAAGTGGAAAATACAGTAGTTAAAAGGTATGAAAAATATTGAGAATTTCATTAAGATCAGTAACTTTACCAAAATGGGGAAAACTGGGTACTCCTGTAGTATGTAAACCAAGATGTCGGACACCGGAACGTAGTATGTGTACCAGGTTAGGGTTAGGCCATAATTTTAAGTACAAATACTACGGGAGTCACTTAGCTAGTCCCCGAACTTCTAATAGAACTAAAATAAGGAAAATCGTAATAAAATTATGGCCTAACCCTGTACACATACTACGTTCCGGTGTCTGCCATCTTGGTTCACATACTACGGGAGCATCAAAAACTGTTATGATCGAGAGCGAACTTTATGGAGATGCTTGAAAAACAAATTATTCATGGAATAGCTATAACAGATGAGATTTTCCTGGGAAGTTCAAGCTGATATGTGAATACCATACCAGTTATTCATAAATCTCAACACCCAACTTGCGAATAATTTTATACACAAGAATTAACCAATTACCAATAACATCCATACAAAAATTAGTCTTGTATATTTTTTATATGACGCTTATTCATTCTTTTCATTATTCAATATCTCATGATATGTAAGAATCTACTCTTTTCGTGGGAGTCAGAATCTTTCAGATTCGACATTGCCTACCCAATTTATTACAACCTAGGTGAAGAGTTAGGCATGGTGTTTGGCAGAGAGTCACCTGCGATGGCAACACAGTTAGGATAGGAGGATTGAGTTTTTCATATTTATCCTGAGGAGAGGAAAGGTGATAAGCTGGCGTACCACAGCCTCACGTCCAGCTGTCAACACAATTATTCCCCACACGATCCCAATTTACGAATCCATGCAGTTAGGTTTAACACAATAACTGCTAGGCCACATATACACATCATGTTTCATCATCATCATCATTTTCTCCTCATAAAATCTGTTTAAAACTAAAACCCCAAAAAACTTACCAGCCACATAAATTTGTCTTCTGACGCCAAAGTTTCAAATGGTTTTCCATCTTTTTCATATTGTTTAAAAGCTTTCAATTCCACTTCGTTTGGAATGAATCGTGGTAACATTTCAACATATTCCAATGGTAATGCTTGTAGATCATAACTATATACCGCTCGACATATCTCATCTGTACTTAACCCGATCTTACGCAGTGTGATGGCTGAAATACGACAATAAAATAGAGAAAGGGATAATTCCGTAAAAGTCTACAGAACCAGTTAGGATAAATGACAATCCAGTTTTCATAAACCAGAAAGAAATCCATGGTCAATAATGATTATAAACAGTTATTTTCATCTCTATACTACCTCAATTTCAGGATAGGATTCATATATTTATCCTGGAGAAAGGAAAGATGATAAGACGGTTTAATCATATGGCAAACCATGACCTCTCGTCCGTTTACCAGTTTATGTCGGGTATGGCATTAGTTAGCCAGTTACGATGCGCCACACCATCGAGTAATAATGAGAAAAAATATGGCTGATAAGTGTGCAATAATAATTGTTACTTTCTATTCAAAATTAAAATGTGAATCCAAGAGTAAATGAATTTATTTTTATGATTACATTGATGAATTGAGGTAAGTTGGAAAAATTACCAACTGGTAAGTCATTAAATGTCTGTTATAAGAGCGAAATGTGTAGAAAGCTGACTAAATCAATAGATTCAAATCGTATAAACTAAACATGCTCATTAATATTCCACATACTGAGTTGTGTATTATTAGTGCAAAACACTTCACCCAAAACTTACATAGATTTCTTGCACGATTCACATCAATAAGTGACATTCCACGTTTCTGTTTTGCTTCCGTTAATTTTTTCATTCTCAATTTATCAGCATCAGAATCTTGTGCTCTTGTCTTAAATATCTCTTCAAAAGCATTCATGTCAAGCTGAAATGAAATAATGTATGAATAACGCAATTCAAAATTAAAAAGGGCAAGAGGAAGTATTGGAGAGAGAGAGATTTATTGTTTCATCAACCAGAAAACAAGCAATGATACATAAAAATATATACAAAATAAACAAGTTAATTTGGTATAGACTGGGGGGAACGATACGACCATAATCTCACCACTCATCAGAGTCACTAAGCATTAGGAACATGCCTTTGGATTACTATGCGAGTGTTTGTGGGTTTAAATCCCTTGGGGATAATAACGTGCGAAAGGCTTGCTGAACTCATCTATCCATGGCAACGCAAGCCAATATCCGGTTACCATTCCCTATTGGGTATAAGAATACTTAACCATTTATTTGTTTCAGATACATGGATTTTATGGCGGAGGAAGCCATTACTGACCAGATGTTATGTTAACCACCCTATAACAGTGAGGAGTCCAGCAATCATCTTGCCTATATTGATCTTCCATGGAATTCAAACCCAGCCAGAATAGCTAACTAGCTTCCTATATTTTCGATCGGGAATATCCACTAACAATATAGGCTTCATAGAAAACCGAAAATCAAACGAGGAATCTTTTAGCATAGGTTGGCTATGCCTGTTCATAGCTGTTATAGCTAACAATATATTCCCTGTCGCACTAGCTTTTGCAACCAGCCTGAACAGTAATACAAAAATGCTTCCTATCTGTCAGAAATTTACCCTCACATTTTGCAAAATTTAGTAATCAATCAATCTGCAGTGAGTTTGAAAAGGAATCTGACCAATTCAAACAGATTTTTAATTGAATATGGGAGGGGAAAATACCACAATGCTTGATATTGTCTGCAAGTTGTGTCGGTGCCAAAATAATATATTCTAGAACGGCATTTGGAATCTTGCGAGCATTGAATATTTTACAAAGTTAAGGGATTAGGTTTTGACAATTTTATCACATTCGAAAGCACTTTCTCCGTTATGGAGAAATTGAAATCCAACATAATAAATGTTGATATAGAAAGATTGATAATGGCAAATAATGATCAAATATGTTTGCACAGTAAAAGCGTTTGCTTCACTTGCGCTGTTTACCTATTCTTGACACTAATGTGGCCCATGAACAATACAAAAATAACTTTGTTGCCCCAGATGCAGAAAACCTTGGACTACCCTGGCCTAAGCCATAAACGATGCATAAATCAATCAATGCTTCCTTTAGTTCCTTATAATAGGAATCTTATATAATATTACCGGTACTCACTTCATTTAGAACATTGTCATCATTTAGTTCAGTAAACACTGTTCCAGCAACTTGATTTGGTTTTAAAGCTTTCCAATTCAATACAGGTAATCTATATTTGGTTTGATGTCTTGGTTTAGCCCGAAGTCCTCCTGGTAAATTGCTAGATCCAGGAAAGCTCGGCATACCTAAAATAATTATAATAAATAAATAATAGTTGAATAAAAATAAATTTTTTTTTAAATAATTAAAATTAGAAAGGAATTGGGTAACACAAGTACACAACTAAAATAAATTATGAGCTAAAATGAATTTGAATTTACTTTGAATTTTAAAACTCAGTTTGAGAGACGAAAACGCGAACTTTGCTGCTAGTTCACCAATTTATTAAATTATTGAAAAAAATTTGTTTTTTAGTTCACATAGTAATGTCTCATAGCTACCTATAAAATAACAAGATTCTATCATATATACATATACAATTAGTGATTTAAATCAGTTCACAATAAATATACATAAAGTTTGACAAACATCATATAAGATGAAATCATTTTTAGAACCAACATTATTAAAATTATAAATAATGTTGAGTGTTGGATTAAAATACAATATCATTGTTAATACAAAATTTCTTTACGACAGCTCAGTGCAAGACCTTGTGCCAAAAAAACAAACGAAAAGTGTTTCTTGTGAATAAATATGTTTTTCTATTTCCTTGAGAATTATATTCAGTTCACTTTTAGTTTAAATTAATAATGCAAATTGTTCACTCAAAATTCTTGCCAAAATATGCATGTGCAAGGAATTCAAAAAACTTCAAAAATGTATGAAGAGCCAGTGAACACACATAATAAATAACAAAAACCTTTCAGCTTTTCTGAAAGTTACCAATTAGTTGAGGTTGTGCAATAGGTTTATGCATAATTTACAATACAATGAATTACAAATATGCAACAAACTGCTGAAGCCAAGTTGATAATGTCAAAACTATGGCAACGAGTCTCATAACACTTTTTCCTCCAGTTATGCTTCATTACACAATGTGCACAAAAAAGCAGCAGTGCGCTAGGACCAACTTTGATTAGGCATGGGCCATGCGCAAATGATGACATGGCCCATACCTGATCAGAGTTTGTCCTATATATCAAATCTTGACACCAAAAACAAACCGTTCATTTGAAATTTTTCTCCTTTCATAAAATGTAGTGGATTGATCGGTTTTTCTTGAAAATTAAGATGAATGAGTTTTGAAAACAACAAAAAGCTGGATGGACTACTGACTTTCTTCTAGTTCATTCATCAGACGTAACAAAATTTTTTCTCTTATATTGCCAATATTATTATCTGGGTATTTTGGGAGATTACCGGTAGCAGGTCTACTATACTGTGAGCTAAATACTTTTCACCTTTTGCTAATAGTTTTGTCTCGTGTTCAGTAGTCTCAAAGACAAAACCACAGAACTTATCTGATTAGCCTTAGAGGCAGAAAAGACTAAGACCCAATACCATTCCATTTTTTAATGTAGAGGTTAGATATAGACAATTGATATGTCTATTCATTATATTTTTTATACTTATCTTTACTCAACAGTCAATCGTACTTGTGGATTAAACTGTTCAAAATATCGCAAACAAATTCAGCATTGGAAATGGGTTTATTGAATATTTTTTAATCATAAATAAGATATTGACACTAGAATGGAATGACAAATTGAGGGTTTCAAGATAAGAGGGTAAATGTTGAAATTTTGACAAATTTTTTTTGAAAATATTGCAAGGAAATAGTTGCTTAATAAGCTGGAATTTAATCATAGTTTGGAACAATACTCACCAAACTATTTTTAAAAATAAAAAATATGTTTACCCTCATTCTCTAAATGTAGTAGCAAATAATCTATTTATTCGAATGGTAGCCAACAGCAATAAAAGATTAGTAGAGACTTGACTGGATAATAAGAACTTTCAACGAAATTGAATTATTGTGACTCAATAGTTTTCAATCTTTCTGACCCCTTTCAAATAAAGATCTATAGTAGTTGTTTGGTATATTAAACTTACCTGGTGGAGGTGGAGCACCAGGTGGAGGCGGTGGTGGTGGTGGAGGAGGTGCAGGAGGTGCAGGTGGTGCAGGTGGTAAGTCACCACCAGATTTGCTGCTGAATGAAATCGTAGGTGCAGGAGGTGTAGATGATTTATTAATATCAGTAAGAGGGTCCTTTGAAAAAGAAAAATATTTATTCTGACAAAATACTCGAGGTTCAATCAACTTTACTTTTAAGTGAGTTTTAAAGCAAGTGTTTCTCTCTTTCTCTGGACGGGAGTGTTCGCAGAGAGGAAATACAGAAATATGTATTCAGTGTAGCTACACGCATATTTACTACTTATTGTAATACATATTCATAAACACATTATAAACTATTCAAACTGTCCAAAAACCGAAGTGGGAGTTGTGCATGACACTAGCTAAGGATTTTACAAGATTGAACAAATACAGGAAACAGCTTCATTTATATGATGAGAGATATCCAAAATAGGCGAAGGAAAGAATATAGAAGAAAGATTGAACACCACTGCTCTAGAGCAAATATTACTAAAAAGTTTCAGCTTCACTATATTTGCAAAAATGACAAATCTCTTGATTACCGATAATAATCTAATACATAATTGCATACTACTAGTCAATTACACACTAACATACCTTAACTTTGACATTCAAACCGGGGGTATCATCACTTGGTGGTCCAAGTTTTGATAAAGGTGGAAGACTTTTCTCTTGTAGTCTTCCATTCATGAGCAATCCTTTCTGGATTGCGGCCTAAACGATATGAAAGCATCTAGTTTATGTACCCCAATAAGTATGAGGAAATGACATACCAGGGTTTTCCAAAAAGATGCCCAGTCTTTAGTTTTCCCATGTATGCTTATTTTAGGTGGGCGTCTATACAGTATTTAGATCAACCCCTTTCCATCCAATAATTATGATTTACCGGAATATCAGTTATTTCAGGCCAAGCCCTATCTCAAAAGTGCACCAAAATTGCCATTTCCCAACAAAAATGAGGGGCAAAACAAGACGCGAAATATTTCTTTGTGTGACATGAATATTTGTCTTAGAGCAGCTAGATGCCATATTTCCAAGCCAATCAAGGACAATATGCAATTGCTGTATAACAGCCCAGGTGGTTATTTTTTCCTTTTCTTTTTGAAATAAAAAAACCATGGCAACCGAAGGCAACACAATCACAGTCTTATATAACAAAAACACACATAAACGACATTCATGTGAAAAAACCTTGTTTTCTGCATCATTTCCTATTGAACGTTTAGCTGGACTCTCGTCATGTGCCTCATAAATTGTGCCGAGGGGTGCACTAACATCAGCATATGAGGGAGGTTTATGTTTTGGTGGTTGATTGGGACTTGAATAATCAGAAGGGGTGGATTTTCTACTACCAGAAGAAGTTGAAACGGCCGATGGCGAAGATGAACTGCTTTGTGACATCACAGAAAATCTTTCTTCTAAAGCAGCACCGAGTGGAGGAAGGACCATATTTTTATTGAACAGTAAGTTAGAAGGGGGTGGAGGTAAATTTTCCATCAAACCAGTACCAATATCTGTCGGAAGTGGTGGGGCGTTATCACCAAGGCTTGGTAATGCATGAGAGGAAAGTTCCACGTCTGGTAGGTGGGAATTTGAATGACTCGAGGCACGTTTATTTGACGGAATACTGGGTAGAATCGTATAATCCCGCCTCGATACTTTATTTTTTTTATGCTCTCTCGATCGACTTGAGATCACTTTTTGCGATGTTCTATTCGTAATTTCAGGAGATGTTTTAACACTTGGTGGTGAATCAGAGCTTGAGGAACTCCACTCATAATCTCGAGTTAGAGGTGAGAAAGATTGTTTGCTAATGTTAGTCATGGATAAATACTCTCGCGCCTCAGTAAGCTTTGGTATTTTATTAACATATCTATGCCGACTTCTTGCCGGTCTTTCAGTTCTTTTCTTTACAACTGGCATGTTAAAATCAATGTAATCTTCTCCGTCAATATAAAATCGTGGTTCTCGATGGAAACCAGGTTTTCTTGATATCGTTAAACGATCAAGACTACCTGGGTATGACTGAGTGCCATCTGTAGATGACAATGTTGATTTGAGTGTATCAGACAACTTTAACGAGTTAGTACTGAAATTATTATATGGCATTCTTGCTTTTTTCCACTGAAAAGAAGAATCTGTCGTAAATCCACTACTTCCACTGGTAGAACTTGAACTTGTAAAAGAAGACACTGATGGTGAAGGATGAAAATTAAAATTTCGTTTTTCCAGATCTTGCCAAACCTCCGCTGGTATAAGAACAACACTTTTACGTGCCAAGTCAGGGGAATTCATTTCTTCGAGACCATTTTGTGATGTGGTCCATCCCAATCCATCAGATGAAGATTTTATTCCCACTGGCACCACATACTCGGCAGGAAATGGGGGGCGGTGAGTCTTACGTGATTCTTTCGTGTGATTAGGTATATCACCAATAGAGTTGAGGCGACGTGATAATGGGGGTCTGGGTATAATGGGTCTATTATATGTTGGGGGCAGGGGGTCCTTAGAAGCAGCAATCCAATGTAAGCAGACAAAGAAAAATATCCATTTATTACATTGCAAAAATAAATATTAATATAAATTCACGTAATCGTGAAAGTATCTAAAAATTAGTCATAGTGATGATGGTATTCGTATTCACCTTAATTTCTGTGATTTCATTACTCTTAGCTGACAGTTGTTTTTCTAATTCCACGATTGTAGTCATATTCTCATATTCTTGTTCCTGAATTTTTTCATTCAACTGAAAACAAAATTAAAGTTGAAAGATTGCGTCTCAAAAATAGAAACATAGGATGAGATTTTTATATTCATATTTATTTATTCAGTACATTTTTCAAAATCAAAAAAATGAAACTGTAAATAAACAGTGGTTATGTGAACCACCCTACAATGGTGAAAAGTTCGTCAATCCTCCCCCACATAATCATCTCAAATGTGATTCGAACTTGCAAACTCGAGTAGGGTAGTCGGAGTCGTGTTGGCAAGTGTATTCACAACGGTTAGCATGATTCTACAATTTCAACATTACTTACAGTGAGAACTTGATCTTCTAAACTTTCGACTCTTTCAAGAGCTGTGGTTTTTAATTCTGAATCCTCAAGTAGGGCAGATACATCAAACATGTTGTCAATGTAAGCTTGAATTTGAACTTTCAACCTGTCACTCTCTGTTAACCGAAGTGTCTATAAAATAGGAAGAAAAATGTAAAATAGTGAGTAAAAAAGTAAATAATACTATCTATCTCTACTAGGATGCCTAGGATAAGTAACACGGGGCCCCCCAAAACACAACCCATAAATTTTACAATCAATTTTATGAAAATATGGAAAATTTATTTAAAACTTGAACTTCTGTCTGTGTATGATTATAACCAAAAGTTTCGGTAATCTAAATCATTTGTACAAAAGTTATGTTCTCTTTAAGATATGTTCCAAATGACCTGGGTTCTGTTTGTTGGGCTACGCTGTGGTTCTTTTTGAACATGGTAGCACTCTACATATCAGAGGAAGCTTATACAGTGACTTGTTTGGTAGGAAGAGCGTGACAATGTTGATTAAGGAACAACTGAGAATATTCAGATTCAACGTTTAAATTGGTGATTACATAGAGCCGTATTCGGAGAGAAACAGTATATGGTATGCAACAGCATCATTAAACTTTTCATCATTAAAAAGTTTTATCTAAAATTTCTGAAAAAGATCTTTGAATTGCTATCTACAGATTCAAATAATTTTAATGACTTGAAATTAACTAACCAGTTTTGAAAAATGCAATGCCACTAGTATAAAATATTTAATGTATATAAGGTTGATACTATAACGGCCAATACAGGAAATCGTCCATAATAATCGGTGCAATTTATGAACTAAACTACGCAATTTAAAAAATGATATATAAATAAAAGATTCAAATTCATGAATAATTTCTAATGCAGATGTAAATGATAACGTGTTTATATGACTCACAAAATCATAATATTTAATTTGAACTTTTTTATCTCTGGATTTGATTTAAAAAAAAATTGAGATTGGGTATTTGTTTCAAGAAAATTTGATTCAAGCAAGGTCACACACGATCACTCGAGGAAATAATGAGTTTGAACTCCGAGCAATATGAAAAGGTACAGGGACTTTAAAAAGTTGTAGCGTCGATTTTTGTGCAGTAAATAATAACTGATAACGCTGAGCAATTCAAATTGAATTGGTTATTAAATTATTCGAATTGGTCCAAACGAAAATTTTGAATCGCCGCCATCTTTTTTTTTTCTGTCCGCCAAAGGTCAAGGTGAATTCTACAATTGTCTTTATTGAAACCAAAATGATTATATACTGTTATGTAGCCAACCTCTAAATATTCATCCAATCCAAGCATTGTGAATTCATATTGTAAGTGAACTCGAAAATTCATATCTTCCACTGAATGTACAACTATGTTGATGAATTGTGTACATGATACCTGAAATATAAACAAATTAATGGTTTCTATTCAATGATAGCATCATTATGGAAATATTTTTGTAGTAGGTTATGATAGCATAAGAGGCTGCAACAATTTAAATTTCACTATCAGGTAGAAACAAAAATGGAAAAATTGTGATGGCGTGAATAAAAGCTAACAAACTTTGAAATGTCCCGTAATCAAGAAATTTCTATGCATTATTTTAGATATTTATTCTTTCTCCCAGTAAAGTGTGATAAACTAGGAAGGCGGGCATGTCAAACTGGAAATACTTTGCCACGTACTTAAATAGTACCTCTTTACATGTCATTAGATATTAGCGACCGCTAGTACAAAGCCTTGTTCGGAGCAAACAAGCGTCATACAAAAAACAAAATTGAGCTTTCTTATACATAGATGGAATTTGAAGATACTATCTTCAAAATTCTTCATTTTGGTTATTGTCTCATTTTACTACATGTCATTCTTTTTGTCAAATGTTTTCGATATTTTTTAATTAAAGTGATAACATTTTTTGTGTATACCCCAATAGACAATGAATGGGATGGCCCCTATTATAATAATTCAATAGGTTTAAATATATACTTCCTACCTATTTTATTAGTAAACCATTGAGGGTAGAATTGGAAATAGCTGAACAGATTATCATTCCTTGGACTTGGATATTGGAGAAAGACATACAAAAAAATTGCGTGATGAAGAGAAACATGCCAAGAATTCATTATTTACTTGACTTGAATTTCACTCAATTGCAATTTTCAAGTATCTGTGCAACCATAACAAGACTGGTAAAAAATCATACTATTTTAGTTCAGTTTTCCCCCACTTATCACCCATTCGGCAAGGTTTTTATTTACAACATAAGATCATTTTCTTACCAAGAAATCTATATTATCAGTTTCTGCTTTGAAGTATTGCATTAACCTGAAAAACCTTCTTGGTTCGGCACAGGCAACTTTGAAATTATTGAAAGCTCTTAAAATAATTTCATGGCCACCTTCAACAAGACAAACAGCTGCTAACAACTCCAAAACCAATGATTTTGTCCTGTTGAAATATGAATGATAATTTGAGATTTTTTAGTAGTTTGATGATCAAGGTATAGTGCTAGACAGTAATAGAGTGCTAGCTATTACATTGGTATTGCAACACACTGTGTTGCTATTGTATAAACCTGCTTGAGTTATCAAATATTAATTTGTAGAAACCATTTTCAAAAAGGCCAAAAATAAAAATGTCAAAATATATGTATGAAACTGCTTTCCACCAAGCCCTCAATAAAACAATAACACTAGAAAAACAAACATGTTAAACACGGTGTATCACTGTTCCAGACTTGATAGAACAAAAGATAAATCTAGTATTATACTTTGTACTTACCTCAATGACTTATTATTCAAACTCAACGCAATCTCATTGACGCACTGAGGATGAGACGTCACAAGACGAAAACCATGTTGATAATTCATGATTGTTCGAAGACAAGAAATACAAACATGGACGTCATCTCTGAGAAGTAAAAGACAATGGTTATTCATAAACGGCATTCATAATATCAAATAAAGTGTTAGGCAAAAAATGCTAATAAAAAGATTGAAGGTAATTCTAATATGCATGCAAGTGTAAAAAAGTGGGTACTCCCGTAGTATGTGTACCAGATTAGGGTTAGGCCATAATGCCAAGTGAATATATCTCCCACCCATAAAGTTCAGTCTCTTTACACAACTTGATGTAAAGTAGGCGAACAAAATTAGTTACCTCAATATTGGTACACACACTTCTCGAGCGCCAATAAATTGATCATGAATTATCAAATTAAATTGAATCCCCTACCAACTAATGACAAATTATAAAAAGATCTAGACGCGGGTTCCATGTCCTGTGATGTCCACATTTATTATTTTACGGAAATGATGACTTTAATTTTTTAGCTTATTCTAACATATTAACCTTTTTAAAACGCAATGACAATGATTGTAAATCATGATAATAAAGAAATGAAATTACAATAAATCATTAGAACAAGTCAACTTCCAAATTGGAACTTGATTCTCTATACAGACTGTACAGGGTCCCACTGCAATCAAAGTTTTTTTTATGAAGTCAGTTCTCAATATATCTTGACCTGGTTTGTTTTATTTTAATCAATTTTCATTTATATTTATTTACTCCATTTAATACACTCCTATATGACCGGTATTAATTGCACAAAGCCCATCTAAGTTCTTTTACATAATTTAATACAAGACTTTATGAACACTTTGTACATCTGTGACATGCACAACATAAGTAATTTAATAATATATTGACTGTTGTGTACGATACCTGTCTACTATTGTTTGTGAATTTTTCAATGTTCTTCTATTTGGAAGTGAATTATTACGATTTCTTGATAACGAAGAAGCAACACTTGATCGTTTATCGACTGATGGTAAACTTCCATAACCCTGAAATAGAAGGAAATTATAGTTCTTAAAAGCTAACGTTTTTTTTCTTATCTCGACTGCTGCGAGACACATTTATCCATTAACAAAAGAAAGTGAAATACAATACCAGTACTTACCACACTTAAGTCTCCAGTACTGTTTGAACTCTTGGAAGTTGATAACAGGTTGTTATGTGTTGGAATAACACCACCATATCTAGTATAAAAACAGTTTTTCAAGTATGGAGGATATATAAAACACAACTAAGCCTTGTTTGCAAAACGATGTAATTTGCAGACATTTTGAATTTCTACACAGAAAATTTCATCATCATCAAGGCTTATATGGTAAATGATATCTAATTTAAAATAAGGATGATGCAAGTACTAGTGTCCAAATATTTTATATAACTAAGGTTAAAGAATAATGCTTGGCTGAGAATTTAGATTTTTTTATACGAGATTTCATACACTTTTCACTCCGAATATGCATCTGTCCAGTCGTCTTCAGACACAGCGAATTAAAATGATGATATAATAATTTAAGAACAATTTATTGACCATGCGTACATTACTGTAAAATTATTATTTAACTTTATGGAGAATTAGCAAAATTAATCTTCAGATTTTGGTGTTAATGACAAAAAAAGGAGAAATCTTGAAAGTGATTTTGTTCACACACTTCACCGTTGCCAATATCATTAATAGTTAATGTGAAAATAAACAAATCTAAACTGAAGAGGAAATGAAACTCAACTTACGTATTCGCCAATTGAGCAAACGCTAAGTATTCAACAAGAACATCCAAACCTTGATTTTCTTCATTTAGAAATTCACGAACCCATCTAAAAATTAGAAAACAAAATTGTATATTTGAAGCAAAATTAAAAATGTAATGAAAGAATTCTGGCCTTCATAAGTGGATTAAGGCACAATTACAATCTTGGGGGCAGAACTGACATGAGTAAACTACAGCCCGTGGACCGAATCCGGCCGGTTGTGTAGTTCAATCTGGCCCACCTGATGCTGCCACAACCAAACTAAAACCAAATTTTGATGTTAAGCTAAAAATAGCTCAAAAAATTTGTTGAGATTGTGATTGAATTTAGTTACGTCACAGAGCTTATTGTTTTCAACTTTTTCTTTTGTAACTCTTCTAAGTATTGTTTATAAAATGTAACTTTTTCGTTATACTCACATGACCCGCCAGTCTAGGTAGGCAAAACCTTGCCCGCCCTTGGTCTAGAAATTTATAAAATTAAAAAGATCTCGATAAAGCTTAAATAAATGCTGCAAGACTTGCAGTTGTTTTTAAAAAAAAGATGACGATAAACAGAAAAAATTGAGATATGGAATCTCCTATTTCAAATTTATATTATACCCAGCATCAGCATGACACAGAATAATGACGCACATCCTGGATTTAACTTACTCAGACCTATTGTGAAATAATTTAGGGTCAATGACTCAAAAGTATTTGTTAGAGTTAGAGAGTGAGGTAGATAGAAGAAATTTGTAATATCAGAAAACTGAACCAAACATGAAAGAATCAGTATTTTAAAATATTTCGAGTTACAATTTACCCACACCATTGGTTCTCGAGTTTCTCAAGTCCACAAATCTGAAACAAATAACTGGCTAACTAATCCCATACCCGACATGAACTGGTAACCGGACGAGAGGCCGTGGTTCGCCATCTTAACGTCTATTTTCTTCCCCGGGATGAATATGTAAATCCTATCCTAGAACTTTCATGGTCCATGGGCCCCCTAATAAAGACTCTTCTATACACCTATGGCCCCCTGCTTTTCTATAAAAATACCTAATTTTGCTTTTAAGACATTTCCATCATTGTGCGGCATATTTAATGACATAAAAACTCAACAAACATAAGTACAAAAATAAAAGAATTACAGTCAAAAAATCATTCAAATCGCGATATATTTACTTTTAATTGATAATAGTCATTGTTAACGGTACCTAGTGAAGTAATTTGCTTGCGGTCCCTTGGGAACCACTTGGTCGCCCCTTAGGGCAGATGGCCCACTTTGAGAAAACCTGACTTACACGAAAAAATTTGAAATCTTTTAAAGTTAAGTTTGTATTAAAATATTGTTTTACCCAATATGATTTGTTCGTAACGAAATTTCCAGCTCCCTCAATGTTTTTGTGGAGTTTGCAATTCGGCGTCGAAATCTTTTACTTCTTAATGATGGATCTAAGTAGCTCTGTAAAGTGTCGATGTAATACTGTGGAGGATTTTTTATCAGCACTTTGTCCTGTAGATGAATAAAACATGAGGTCATTTTACCCAACGATAGGACAGATTTAAAGTACTTTTCTCATTATCAACTTCAAAACAATATAGATAGAATCTAATCGAGAATATTCTTACGAAAACATGATATGGTACTGATAACCAATTGTCAAAAAGATGCCACTTGTCTAAATATACATTTGACACATTGTATACCCTTGAAGAGGGACGAAATGCCGTCTGTTTTGAATTGAACTATGAATTTTTTCTTAATATTAGATCAAGTTGGAAACAGCAATGAACTTTTCGTGAATAGCAGACGGTAGACCCCGCAAGGATACCAGCAGTTACTAGGTGTTCATCGCTAATAAAAAAAACTTGAACAAAGCAGTTATTTCTATCACGTTGCTAATCGTGATCTTGCAAAAACTGGTATATATTACAACAAATCCGTTATTGTTAGCAATATAGTACAACTTGGGCATCTGAATATATTAAATTGTTTTTTGTACCATAAAATTGAGGCAGGCAATAATACATCACAATTTGAAAGCAAATTCCTCATTTTTTTTTCAATAAGTGTACTGTAACATATATAATTTTACTATCCCAAGGTCATGGCCTGGGATGAAATTATTTTCGCGAAATGTTACCTGGCATAATATTAAAAGCTTCAATGTCAGACAGTGAGGGCTGTTTTATTAAACATTTCTTAATATTCCAGGTCATAGAGTTTCTCTATGTAATAATAGGCATAATTTTTTATTTTATTTTGTGTGTTTAAAATAGGGTAAAATGACACAGCAACCCTGTGCCATTTTTGAGTACCATAATTCTATTTGAGATAGACCATGATATCAATTTGGAAACCATCTGTTATAGGTATGAGTGATTCCAGAAGGACTATAAAATATTGAAACGTGGTTTAAAATAAATGTATTCTTCTATTTGTTAGTCAAATGGCTTGATATAGCTTTACATTTTTAAAAAGATAATCTCTTAATTGGTTGCAGGTACACCTGACCGTTCAACCAATTATTTTTGGTTTAGGTGACTTTGTAATCTAGGAGACTAATTATGAAATAGCATATCTACAATTATGAACGTAAATCTGGTTAAATTACATTCCAATCTACTATTATGCTTGGCCAAACTTGGCAAAGCCCAAACCTTGTTGTCCTATACACTTGTATACAATTTTATATTAAAAATCAGTGTTCCCATAAAATAATTGCTGTAAAAATTCGATAGGAACATTGTAATTAAAAATAGTTTCGTTTCATATACCAAAGTATAGTATTTCACACACAGTATTTTGTGATCAGATTACGATTACAATAGACTGGGTGTAACTGATATACAACGAACAAATGTGATTTACGTTTGGAGTACCCTAGTAAAATCCCCAATAAAAGCACGTTAGGAAACATAATTGTACAAAGTCTAAATTTTTTTTTATATAGATGTATGTACTGAATCCTACATTATCCTTAATTTAGCTTATTAGTAAGATTTTCATTTGTTTGTTTACATTAATTTTTAAATGAAACTAATTTAGTGACCAAAAGATGTACCGGTAATCTTCATACATTTTCAGCATGGACAAAACATCTTTTGAAATTTTATATAACGTTAATGCATATAAAAGCAAATAATTTGAAATTTTCAATCCCGCTTCATTTGGTATTTAATACAATCTTATTTATTGTATTTATGAACTGAAATTGTTTTTTTATTTTGAGGAAATTGTTAGATACACGCGATGTCTCACGAAAGCGAGGTTGGATCTGCTTCAAATTTTGCATGTGCATTCATCACATCTCGGATCAGAAGCCTATTGATTTTGGATGAATTATGTCGTATAATTAGCGAGTTATTAATTAATTAGTGATGAAGAGATCTGGATTTTTACAAAGCGAGAGATTTTCGAGGCGCGCTGAATGTATGTGTGCGTGTGTGATGCGCAAGTTTTCACTGTCCATATCTCTCTTGTAACTTTGACGTCGTCGCGATGCGCAAGTTTCCTTCGAGAAATTTTTCACGCTATTGAGTCAGAGCGAAGAATACACGCCGCGAGATCGTATCTCGTTACTTATATTTACTCTTTAAAGTTTAAGCAATGTCCATATCCCTCTATCAGGTTCGGGATTGCAGAATTCCCCACCAAAACATCGCTGTGTTTGAATAGCCGTCGCAACCCGGGTTAGCGCCGTTGTATTTGACACAAAGTATAGGATCGGCAAATAGGCTATTGGCTGGAAACTAATCGAAACAATCCAGTTCGGATTTGCAGAATTTTTCATCAAAGTATTTCCTCGAGTAGTATTTCGACGACTACATGGGGAGTTGGCTATTGTTTCCTATATTTTTGATATTGGCTGAAAACTAATCAAAACAATCCCATAAATTACAAAATTTACTCAAGATATACCAAGAAATTGTAAACATTCAAACATCAAGCATAGCCTATACATTCATACATAACTTCTCATACATACCAAGTTATGTATTACATATTATTCATAAATTAATATTTGTTTTGTTTGCATAAGTTTGCTAATATGATGTAAAATTATCAATATATCATTATTTAGTTTACTTTTGTTGAATAAGTGACAATGAAGCCAATCATGTTAGATTTAAGTTAATTATTTGATATTTGATTTACGGTATATGAATTGATCAAATTTTTAACAAGCCATTTTCAAGTTCAAAAAATTGAAAAATGACCCCACAATTTGCTTGTGTAGCAAAATATAAAAAAAAAACATTCGCCTTTCTGTTCATTATAACCAAGATAATTTTTTCCCATATTTATATCCGAACAAAATTCCAGTTATGCATTTAATTAAATGATGAAAGTGTATCTTGCCCCGCCAGTCACCCAAGATGTAATACATATGGCATGTAATGTCGAACTGCAAAGATTTCGGATAGCTCTTTAAATATCGTTAGATATTCAGTGGCTACGTACGAAAATCATCAATAAGCAACATATAAAACAACATATTTTACCTTATGGTTTGAAACTTTTAACACTTTTTCTAAAACTGATAAAACTCCACGAAGTGTCATGTTGATTTAACAGTTCTTCATTTTAGAAATTTGTGAAATGAAATGATACATTATTTACCAAACAATGACCTGGTTGAATGTGCTTGAGTAAACATCCCATACAACAATGAAATACTTTATTGGCAGATATCTAACTATATAAACGATATAGCTATTTATAGACAGTTAAACAGAAAATAGAATACAATATATGTGAATTCAGTTATATGGGTGTTATCATAAAATACCATCCAGGTTACGTTATCTAAAACTTTTGTCAGTCTGCTGTAAGTAATACGGTCATACAAATTCCGGTAGTCCTGTAGTGCGTGTACCAGGTTAGAATTAGGCCATAATTTTATTCCGATTTTCCTTGTTTAATTCTATTATGAGTTCGGGGACTGTCTGTGTTAGCCAAGTGGATATAACGCCTGCCCATAGGCTTCCGTCCCTTTACACAACTTGATGAAATAAAGTACGTAACAAAATTATTTACCACCATATTGGTACACACACTTCTAGAGTGCCCAAATTCGAGCAATTTATTTTACCTCTTTCAAACAAAAATGCCAGCAATATTTATTTCAACACATCCCTTTTTATTAAAACCTTAAACTTGCTATTTTCCTTAATGTTAACTGACATTCCTCAACATGGTAACTTTGCTTTCTCATTTTTTAATCCTGATAATATACCAATAATGAACTTTAACTAATAACCAAATTATAACCATAATTTTAGCTTTATGATTTAAAATTTTTAAATGAAATTTAGCAAATTTGTGTTTTCACTAAAAACACAATATGAAATATACCGGTAAATGTTAAAATATTTTTGGTATCAATTTACGCATTATTTACTCTCTTAACTTTCAATAATAAATAAACTTTTTTAAAGTTTATCAATATTATAATAAAGTCAGATTTTAAACATCTCAATCTATTTACAAAGCAATAATCATTTATTGAACATCCACTGACACTAACCTAAACAATGCTGGAAATCATCCAAATTTTGTTCTTCCATAACACTCCTGACTCCATGGAGAGAATATAATTTCCTTTCAATGTTTTACCGTGCTAACCACGAAACATATGACAGGAAAGTGTTAGAGAAAAGATATACTGCATGTGGACATTGTTATGAATATTACATTACTAAAGCTTTTTTCCAATCCACTTTGCAGAAAAACATAAACACTGTTGTGGTCAAAGATTAAACTCGATCATGTAAAGGCTATAAATAACTAGTTCTTAAAAAGCATGTACCATATCTACCCCATGCATAAATAAATAGTAGTTCCAATTATCTTACATACTGATACAGAAAACGAGGAATAATCAGGGTACAGTGCTCAGTGCATTGATACGCCCTGCAGGTCAACAAATATTGGGTGTTGTTACAGACACATTAAAAATGTATGGGATTGTAATTGTCATCTGCTAGTAAAAACTGGATAAAAGAGGTAGTTTGGTATTTGAAAATACAGATTGTATATTATTTCAAAGTACTATTAAGTATTTCATGGAAAAGGATTTATTATAAATGGAAATATGGAAGTTGGTGTGATAATATTGATATATTCAAAAGGGAATAATAATAATCTACATAGTGATCAATTAGACCACAAACACAGAACCCATATATTTCTCAAATACTTCTATGGAAATGAATAAAAAATATATTTAACATTTTCTGTTTGTGTATGATTGTACCCAAAATTTTCAGTTATCCAGGATGCAAAAGTTATGACCACACTAGGATATGTTACAAACGACTTGGTTCGTGTTTTTGGGGTTACCTTGCTCCTTGCATATATCTAAGTAAATATAAAACATTCACATTTTTTGCTTAGTCGTACTTATTGGATTAGGGTCTGTCTAAGTATTTACATTGAGGATATTTTGCATTAATTTGGTTAATATTTTTCTTTTGTTTATCTTGAAATAGGTAACTTGCCACCATAATTCATTACTGAAAGAGTGATTTTTGTAACAATACTGTTTGTCAAGCACACTTTGCATTTTAATAGACAAAAAAATTCTGAAGGAAAAAACTATTAATTCAATTAAAACTCAATTCAGATTTGACCGGATACATCGTGTATTTGTATACAATATCAAATTTAAATCTTGCATATTCAGTTTGCAATACTATACCAGCCTCCCTCATTAATATTCATTGGGGTAATGTGGCAATTACAAATATAATGATTGGCAGAAGTGATACCTTGTATTGCGTCACGAGTCAAATCGCGACACAGCTAATATAAATAAATTATGTACGCTAGGAATCTGATTAATGCTGACATCGACTGGTGAAATGTTTCCTCTTCGGTAAGAGAAAAATTTACTATGGCCCATGCTTGAGAGATACAAATTATTTATTCAGGCCCTGCATCTACCCTGTCTAACTCATTGACATTTTGTACATGATGTCATTATGAATTGAAGCTGCGGAACCAACAAGCGTCAGTATGCACAAAAATAATATTGATAGCATCCGTCTGTGTTATTATAAGTACAAGTAAATATGACATGTAACAAATACTAATTACTTATCTGACTTTGTTACCTTCAGATTCTTATTTGATTGAATGTATTTCTTTAATTAAATTTAGAATATTACAAGTTTACCTGGTCACATATTAATTCCCATTTCTTGTCGTTATCGTAGTTTACCAATACTTTGATCTTGTCTGGGGACAGGTCCATAGAACCCTGTAATAGAGAAAAAATTAATAACATGCATTGCTTTTGACCAGATATAGAGCATAATCTAATTTTCAAGAGGTACTTCAACACGTTCACTGTAAACAAGGCACTGTAAATGCTTAAGAAGCTTCTATTTTCGAAAGAACCAGAACCTTGGGTACTTCAATCTGGCCCGCCTGATGATGCCACAACTAAACCAAAACCAAATCTTGATGTTCTAGCTAACAAATAACTCTAGGAATTGATTGAGATTGCGATTAAATTTAGTTTTGACACAAGGCTTAATATATTGCACCTTTGCTTTTGTAACACTGTGAATATTGTTCATAAAATGTAACTTTTTATGTCACACTTACATGGCCCCCAGGTCTAATTAGGTCTAATTATTTTTGGCCCCTCATCCAAAAATCTTGCCCCTCCCTGCTCTAATCGCAAGACTATCAGTCCCACTATTAACTTAACGATGAACATTTATTGCATGTTATTTAAAAAATTTATATTATTATGAGCCATGCCAGTATTATTTTCAGTGAACTAGCTTACATTAATAATGGGATTCTTTATCATCACAACAGACTCGTATTGTATAAACAATGATAGCAAATATTCTAGAGCCAAAGAAATCCAATTTGTATTCATTACTTCACTCCCATATAGTGTGGTTTTGTTCTACCAATAGTGCTGATTGCAATGAAACTCCGAGAACATCATTTCATTGAAATAATAGTGATTAGGATGAATCATGAATACCATGAGGCATTGATGCCAGCAAATAAAAATGAAAGATTGTGTAATGTTTTAGTGATGTAATCTTTTAAAATAATTTAGTGAAATGAAATTCACAGTTGATGATAAATGATGATATTGTTTTGAATAATCCACATTGTTGTATTATTATGATTATTTACAGAATACTAAATTAAGTATTCTAATATTTCACACAATCAGATATTTTTATAAAATGTGTAATTTCAGCAGCAATTTTGTGATCTATTTCAAAATTTAAAGAGTAAAATCTACTCTTTCCACATGACGCTGATTCATGTTTTTGCTCCAAACAGGGCACTGCATAAGCAGCCAATGATATCTAACACTATGCAAGGAGCTCCGATTAATATGAATAAGTGTAATATTTTGACAATTATTTAGTTTTGATTTGTTTCATGTAAATGCAGTTTCATGATGGCATAATTCGGTAATATGGCATACAAAAATACTTACCAACACCCTTTCAAATTGAGCATTTAATTCTTTTGGATCGGGCATTGGCAATTTAATAGGTACATTATGCATTCTGTAATCTTCTGCGTCTGGAACGCTACTCTCCGAATTTCCCATTTTGGCATTTGTAGACAATATCCAAAAATAAATATATACAAAATCACAATGATAAGATGTCTGAATATTACGCCTGCAAAAATAGACATGAAATTGAAATTACAGACAAGACCAATACTAATCAATCAATACTGTACATTTTGAAAATATAGTGAAAATAAGAATGTTTCTCATCAAAAAACATAAATACCATATATGCTATAATTTTCCTTCCAAGTGTGCATTATATATTACAATATAAAGAATGAACAAACATTAAAAATATCAGTAGCCTTATTCTATTGGGTAATTTGATAAGCAGAATTATATACTACAAAGAATCATTAAAAATTTCAAAAATTAAATTCTAGCCCTTTAATTTTGATTAACAATTGTCCACTCTCAAAATGTTGATAATATATTATGATTGTTTGAAGCATCTTTATAAAATTTTGCAGTATTTATTTTTTAGGATTGGACCACAGATAAATTGCTTTCAAATAGCAAGAATTATATACATAGGATGCTTGGCCGAATGTATGAAAAAGAAAAATTTTAAAGTGGATGATAAGGCAATCAAGTAGACCATTGTTTCAAGTGTTTGCTCTCAAATGGATGGTTATGTCAATCTGACACTTTTAAATGCCTTTGAAGGGAAATCTGAAAGTATGAAATCATAATTATTGAGGCAAGACTAATCGAAACATGTTTCAACAAAGCTAACCTAAATCTATCTAACCAGCTAAAAAGCATAGTTGGAGTCATAGTAATACCTTTATAAAGCTTGCCAATATGACCGATTGATGCACACTCGATTTTACAATAATCAAGGCGTTGTAAACGCTAATATACCTCTACTAACCTAACAATAAGGCCTAAGGCCATGGATTTCAATTCATCTTACTGATTCAACATAGAATACTTTAGTTTAGCAATACCTTCATTCATTACCAAGTAGATTATGTCAAGTTGTCAACCAATACTCATTCGAGACATGAAACTGAAGAGTTTATGAAACCTATTCATTCAATATGCTGACCGTTAATGACCTCACCAATATGTTTCCCAGGTTGAACTTTTCCAGACATTACAACGCAAACGTGTACATTTTGCGACATATTCTACACTCAATATACGCTTAAACAACAATAAAATTGAACCTTGGTATCTATATGAATTTGATAAACTGAACACTAACAATAAATTATATCAAACTTAGTACAAAGCTGAATCACATTTTTACCCAAACATCTATGGTCCATGGTATTCTCGATCATTTTCTCTCGTGTTTAAAAATTCATGGTAATAGCCTCAAAAATTTTAAATTCATTTTCAATTTAAATTAAACAACAAATAATATCCAGTTGATTGCAATTTATAATGCAGGAAGTAATCAATGTTTAATTACTATTAAACTACTGATTAATTAATTGTAAAAATATAATAACTAATAATTAATTCATTATTAAATTATAATAAAAAGTGCATACAAAGTCAGATTATATTATTAATTAGCAATAATTAGTCAGGGTATTAGCAGACCAATGCAAATCTAAAAAAAAAACTAAATAATTTTTATAGGATTCTGATGTACCTGTCTGTTAGTTATAGGCAAAGACAGTTTTAATTACAAATACTCAAAACACTCGTATTATTGTAAATACAAAAAAGTGTATTACATATATTTCATACAATATATGTTTCGATGTTTTATCATGTTTCTGGAATTGCATAATTTAAAAAAATGACCAATTTATATCAGGTGGACAAAATCCAATAAGATAATATACAGTGAATATAAAATCCAATTGATTGATGATGCACTGCCAAATATGGCATTGGCCATCCATAGTTATTTTTGGACTTGACATATCTCTTAATATCAAACCATGGCCATAGATGAAAACAAACATATATCTGAACACACCAATCCCATACATCTGACAATTGCAGAATTGACCGGTTAACTATTCCAATACCTAGCATGGACTGGTAAGCTAATGACAGGCCATATTTTGTCATATGATTAAGCCATCTTATCGGATTTCATCTCCCCCCCCCGGAATAAATAAGTCCTATCCAACCCTAACTAATAGTACCCTACATATACCAGACAATGTTCTGAGGCTTTGATAAGTCTCTTCTAGATTCTATCTATGACATACATAATTAATGTATAAATCATACTGATCCTCATGTACATAAATGAAACCAGCAATTAAAAACCGTTATACTGGCATCTTAAGCATTGACGTGGATAGTCTACAAATGCTGAAATGTTATTCTTGCAGTCTTACGCTAGCGGAAAAAACAACATACCGGTAGTCTACATGGGTCATGAGTTCTTCCACTAAAAACCATCTTCATTGTATTTAAAGTTAAAAGTCAGACGACATACAGGCTTCCGATATAATACTGTAATATCGATATTGACCTATACTACAAGTCTACACCTCAAATGTAATCGCCACAGAACTGTACACTAAATTTCTCATAAACATCCTCTTTCCGCTAACACAAATCATAGAGCAGTATAAACAATTGGAAAGCATAGACTTTCAACATGTTTTCATATAATGAAAATAAGAATACGTATGGCCCAAACATGACATATCATGAAAAAAAATCTCAAAACCAAACGCGACTGGATGGCGTGAAAATAAAACACAAGCACACCTATCGAAAAATTTGTGAATAATATTTGATATTACTCATACGAAATGTCTAGCTCACACCACCTCAGTTACAGCTCTATGAAAGGAAAACAGCGTGAATTTTGTGTCAACAAAAATTACTTCGCCTAGCACATAATATGATCGATAGAAAATCCTCAAGTAAATTTACCGCCCATCTATGGCCTGCAATTACAGTTTGGAACAAGCTTCCACATGACATAATACTCGTCATATGACTAATTATATGTATTAATTCAGTCATCTTGCTCGGAGTAAAACCAAATCCGCTTCGACTTCGTAAATTTCACGCGCCTTTCCTATTACACATTACGATTTGCTGTTAAAGTTAAAACTAGATTTCTCACTTGCGCGTCAATACAAACATAGTGAAGATACCGGACGAAAACAACACCCGGAGGCACAAGAAATTGGCTTATTAAAGCTATTATCAATCATTATGTCATGCACCAAATTTGAAGACGATAAACGAAGTTGCTACGCCTCGCATGCTCGATGTGCAACGCTCCAAGGCGATTGAAATTTGCTACTAAATTAACAAGGTAGAAACATGCAACGCGCATCATCTGCCTGACCACGATTTACTTGTTTTTAGAGCAGTGGCCTATACAGCGTTACCGCTTTTATTGAAAACTTGGATATGAATTTAGGATCCACATTAAAGTTTAAATTGTCAGTCATGAAGTTATTCATTATTCTCGAATGATTCGCTAGCATACATTCATCCAACCAGAATGCCCATGTTTGTCCGATGTCTGAATGTAAACGTTCCATTCTGTCGCGTCGGATTTCATCACACAAAACAAACTATCGCCAACAAACATGACGTAATCACAGACTGGAGACGATTAAAAATAAAACGAAGATCTGTCGAATTACGCTTGCACAGCCAACTAAGCATACAAAGCATGTGTTTTTACTCCAAGAAAACAATTTGTCAACGTACTCGAAAACCTAACCAGGCAACAATTCTTTTAGAGGCATTATGAGGCATTCGAGCGTAAAGGAATCCGAAAAATGCGAGCGATTTCATCTTTGTTCGATTGTGTAATGTCTGCGATTGATGGCATACGTGGTGCTACCAGAGGCAGGTATTATAGATGCACACATTATACTGCACGATTGTCTCGAAATAACCTTGACTGTATTTCCTTCCTACCTCTGAAACGAGAAGGCTTTTGTCCTGAACAAATATGCAACGTTAGGTTACCTGTAATGTAAGCACAGTTTGTTGTATACCTGGTAATTTACCAGGCCTTCAGAATGATGAAAAGCCCTCAGGACACGCGCAACTTGACTAGCTATTCGTTCATTCTTGAGCATTTACGACATGTTAGTAATAGTGCCGAGGCCAATAAGCGGCAGTAAAAAAACTATTAAACATGCGACCTTGGCGTCAACCTTTACTTATTCGATAGTCGGATGACGTTGTCTGTCCGTAATACAGGTTAATCGCAGACTAAGATTGAATATTTGCAAAGAATTTTCGAATTCAGCGTTCTAAAATATTCCATCAATTTATGGCCTTTTACAGAGGGTACTGTGTATTGAGCCTCGCTCATTAATGATGACGGTATTTCGACAATCAATATTTTAGAACTTACAGATGCTTAATTAGATATTTAAACCGCGGATGTCGCTGCTTGATAACCGACTTTGGTTCCCGATGCGTCCCTTCCCCATGTGTCTTCAATTTTAAATTCTGATCGCTATTTTGTTACTGGATGGAAAAATAATCTTGACTATGAACTGCCGGTCCTTTTTCCTAGTGTGCTTTCATTTCGTGTCCGTTGTGACAACGATGAACGAGAGAGAATTAAAGTGATAAATAACTTAAAATAAGAACACTTTTTATTGTTACTTTTCTCTATAAAAATTGATTACTGCTGTTGGTTCGTGAGTGAAAAATTGCCTTGCATTAAAATACAAACTGCATGGTAATAACACTTGATAAATTTTCCGACTAAGCATAACTACTATGTTCGGTACAAATATGTCGGCCATTTATAAAACGCAGTCAAAAGCGTCCATTTTCCATGCATTTCTGTTTCAGCCAAAAATGTAATCAATCGTATTGCAGGATTAATTCAATATTTATTGCCGATTCAAACATAGCTTACCGACCATTTTAAAATCAGTTCATGCCTATCTTATCTGTTTTCATTTCGAAGGCAATTTGAAAATCCACAAATACTGTTTAATGAAATCGAAGATTTTCCGAAAACTACCTAACTACAATATAATATTCATCACGAGGAGAGAATTTACTAAAACCACATTGAGCCCTGCTGCTTTTCTGCAATAATGCAAATTATATCCTATTTTTCAAACAAATGGTTGACAAAACGAGTGTCGAAGTTCGATTCGAAGTTCCAAAACGAGACGGTACCCTGGTCTAGGTTG